TAGCATCTCAAGAATGGTTAAGACATTGAAAGTTCGTACAATGTTCAGCTTTAAAGACGTAGATTCAATATTATTTGATGTAACCAAAATCTTTGCGTAAACATTTAAAGCAGACATTCGCCCAAATATCGGGGTTTTGTTTTAATCCTGAAAGTGTCGGAGTTCGATCAGGAGTGGTTGACCAGACCACGCCAATTAAAAATGTTTCAGGGAGTTCCACTAGTGCCAACTTCTAATGGGTTGCCTTATTATTATTGTTATATTTGGATGACAACATAAAACATTTTTTTGGCTTTACAAAATAATACGTGTTGAACTACAACTCATGCTTGTATAATCGTAGCCTTATTTGAGTTCAGAACGGTTTCATCTTCATTCTCAATATGTGATGTGTCCAACATTAAACACCTGCTGTCAGAGCACACATTCTGTTCAGGAATAGATGCCAAACAGTTGATCTTAAAACCAAGATGAATGCTATTGTTCACTCCCAAATGTTTCTGCTTCCGTAAAGAAAATTCCATTTTGATTGTATGCGGATGTGTTGTGCTGGTACTTTTCTGCTTGGTCCTCATTGCTTGCTGTGAGAACATGCCTTTTTCAGCTTGGGGTAGGCCTCTGTTTATGTTTTAAATTAAAACGGCTGAACACAAGTGAACTCTGGACAATCGCGCGGCCTACCTGAGTCCAGGTGGGCTCAGTTATAATCTCCTCTTACCCACCTCATGATGCACATTCATGGTATTCTGGTGCCAGCCTGCCCCCAAGTGTTGATGTGCCTGGCAGGCAATGAGCACAGCAGAAGAAGAAATCCTGTGTATCGCAAATAAAACTGTTGTTTTGCATTTAAAGTTTGCCTATTTTGTTTACTTTCTAAACACCTAGCTCGAAAACTTCTTATTGAAATGTAATAATGGCAAATTAAAAGGCGTACTGACTGAATTACAATGGTATGGAAATTCTGTGCATAGCTTGTTGAATGTTTGCCTGGATAAGTGTGCATGTGACATTTAAACTAAGCCTCATCTTATACATTAGTATACTCTTGAATCACTGATACCTTTGTCCAGATTTGCCTTTTGGCAGCACTGTGGAAACGGCTTGTTCTTAGACAGAAAATGGCCCCTTTGTGTTTTACTAAATGCCCTGTAGGAAAATGTAGTTTTAAGTTTGAAACTACACATCTAAATCTGCAGTCCTTTTTTCATTTCCTCCCTTAAGCAACAGACTAAGGACAGACAAATAAAAAGTTAGTTAATGTGAGTACACAAGTAGGACATTATTAGGACTATTTCTATGATGCCCTGCAGCCTTAAAGAAGGGAGATTCTTCAACACATTTCCTGAAATGAAGGCCAGACTCAGCAGGCAGAACAAAAAAAGACTAACATGATGTCAGCCTTGAAATTAAAATATCACGCTCCACATCCCATTGTGCATACAATGGTGGGTATGATGACAACTGTAGGAAATTGCATAACTTCCTCAACCATTTTAACTATGCATTCGAGAGCAAGACGACAAACAACTCGTGTCTAAGTTGGCTGAATTACAGAATGGCATGTGGTGCATTTTAAGCTACAACATCGGCTGCTCAGGTCCTGGATCTGCTGTCAGTTTACCTCACTATGTATGCCAAGACTTTAAGATGTGTATACTGATGCTGAGCATACTGTGAATCTTTGGCAGGAGGAAAACAGGAGCTGAGACATCCTAAATTCCTTGAGTCTACTTCTGGCCTGATTTTCTGAAGAAGTCCTGTAACGAAGCCACGTAGTGTTTATCTCAGTTAGGACTATTGGGACAGGTGCAAATGAAATGCAACATGTTATAAATGAGGAACTTACTATAATAGTTGACCAAGAAAATTCAGTAATAAGATGCTAAGAAAACCAGATGCTTGTTTTTAGTTTCTCAACTCAAACAACTTTCATCCAAGTTCATGTAAGTTAACATGTTTTTTCTCTCCTTTTAGTGCAATACCAAGCATTATTATGTCTGAACCTCAAACCACTTGTTGGTGTCAGAGGACCACCCAGCGTCTGCTGTAAGCCTCTGAAGGAAAAACTGATGAGAAGTGAAACGTGTACACATTGTCAGTATTTCACTGCCACCTACTGAAGTGAATAAGAACAACTGAAGCTTTTGCATTTTCCAGATTCCAGAGTGTTGTCAAGTATTTACTATGTTTATATTTTGTTGCAGTTGGTTATAGTTTTTATGTATGCGGTAGTTAAGATGCATCAGGCGGGCCTTTTCTCTACAGTTTTTATGCTTCATTGACCAGTTTTTGTCTCCATTGTTAACCTTCTCTACCGCAGACAATGGCCCAAGCTGCACTTGTCTGACTGAAAGAAAGTTCAAGAGGAAGATAGTCTCCCTCAACTCCTCACCCTTTTTTTTATAGTCTAGGGGTGATTTCATACGTCCTTTGCTGTTCTATCTCTGGGGTCTTGAGGCTGTTACCTTACTTCTTATTTTAAAGCATTTCTTTCTTACCCGTTGATCATAATATTAATCTTGTACAACCAGTGGCGTAACAAGGTTGTGATTGGCCCCGGTGCAAATATTGTTTTCGGGCCCCCCCCCCCATCGCCCCAAAACATAAGCGCACGCTGATGCACTCACACACGCACGGACATACACTCTCTCTTGTCCTTTCTCTTTTGAGCCCCGCTCTTGTGCTTTGGTTTGCTGTACATTATAAATGCAAGCTATTGCTTTTAATGCTGCCGAACTTGCTGCTGCTAGCTACAGTACAGGTTGATTAAGCGGTTCGCTCACTACGCAAGGTATCACATGACATGAAACTTTAAGGGAGAAAAGTCATTGGACAGACAAATTACAAATTAATTTAGGTTAATTGGTTACTTTGAAGACTGCATGGGCCCCTGGCTGGCTCTGGGCCCCTGTGCGTTGCACCGGCTGCACCGTCGATAGTTACGCCACTGTGTACAACAGTCTTCATTTGCAAATATTTTAAAGCAATTATATATATTTTAAGGCAATGACCAAATGTAATAATGTGCACACTTCAGAAGAACATCCTTATCAGCCTTTTTGTGAGACACTTATTGCGATTATATTTGCTTTAAATTAATACGGCATGACAATTGCGTTACTCTTTCCATCTCTCTTGCAGAGTGAAGTGCATGATAAAGTTCTGACCATGGAAAGCTGAATTCTTACATCTTGTATTGTCATTGGGAAAAAATATGGAGATGAGTCCCTTTTCTGAGGATATTTTGAATTGTATTCAGATGGATGGGAAAACGGTGTTTCACTGAGGAGATATAATTAGTCCACTATCAGTCCAAACTGTCAGTTATTTTAATTTGATATGGTCTCTCAGTTTCTTTATCTGCACTCTCCTAATATTTCTTATTTTACTAAAGTTAGTTATAGATAATCTCAGTAGATTTCATATTTATTTTTTGACATTTGACGCCTTTTGAATGCTAGATTCTGTTTTACATGATGCACTTTTGTCCCTATTTACTGCAGAACAAAACTTAGAAATTATTTTGTATCAACACAGCTGTTTCCTCTGGTATTAATACACATGTGTTTATAGTTCTCATATGTTGACCCCTTGAGACAAGATGTGCATAGCCTACTTAAGCAAAAATCTGCTACAGATGATTCATGAACTAGACTGGGGTTTTCTATAACCAGCTGAGCACTAATCCTTTGAAAACACAACTTTAAAATATTTAAAATAAAAAATGTACTTTGTGTTGCCAGTGTTAGGTTAAGAACAAATGTTTTAAATAGAGAATGCATTGTCATTATTATTACATTGTAGCACCAGCAGGTACTGCTGCGGTCTTTGGTAAAGTGGAATACGAAGACAACACCACTTCCGGTTTTCAACTTCCAAAATAAAACTACCGTCAAGCTGGGGACTGTAAAGCAGGCCTTGCTGAGACAGGGTACTGAGGTTATGTCCTCAGTATTTCTATGAAAATTGGGTATTTATTTACTATTATAGGGAATAACAGTTACAAATATATGTGAACAAATACATTCGAGAAATATGTTGACATTTAGAGACTAAACATGTAGGTATTGGGTTTAGTATTAAGCTGTAAGTAAATACAATAGGCTACTTGATCCTAAAGTTAGTCAGCTGAATGTAGGAGATAGGACTGTATTAATGAAGCCATTTAAATGCCATGGCTGCCATGTAAGTGCCTACGTCTTTTACTAACTTACTTAAGTATTACTAGTCTTTGTATTAAATATGTAGTCTCTAAACTGAGATGAGCATGACCAAAACATCACATAATATCATCACATAACTGCAGAAAGCCACCACCAGAGCATAACCCTAAGTTAACCCATGTAGTAGAGGAGGGGAAAGAGAAGCCACTTTTTTAATACCACAAGGGGAAAATCAGTTTTCATATAAAGATACCCAAATGCATAGGTTGTATACACATTAGGCCTGAATACAAATGCATGGATCAAAGAAGCTGCCATGTTTTATGGCTCTAGGGTTCTATGCCTTGCTAAAAGATAGCTTGGCAGTTCATGAGGTGAACTGGCACCTCTTCAGATACCAATCCACACTCTGTACCTTTATCGATAGGGACTTAACCCGTTGACCCTTCTGTTCTCAAGACAAGTCTCTAAAGACTGACCTACCGCTGCACCAATCAAAGTTTATTTTATATTTTGAATATCATTTTATTTTCCTTTATTAGATAAAATTAGATTACAATTGTATTGTCAATGCACAAAGTACAACACAATGCAGTTTGCATTCACCCAGAAAGTGCAAAGAGTAGGAAAGTGCATAAGCTTAGAATAAATATTATGTTTCTAACCCTATGTGCTTCTGGCTATGAACGGCCCCACGGGGAGAAAGCAATGTTTTGAATGTATTGGTCTCAGATATAATCGTCTAATTTTGAAAGCGTGAAGCTGACTTCCGGTTCAGTCCCCCTGACTTGACGCACTTCGTCCGCTTGCTCAATGCAGACGGGGTGACGTCAGTCGGTCAGCTGGCTCCTGCATCTGAAGGCAGGAGAGCCTCTCCCATTGGGAGACATCACCATCACCGCCCGAGCCTGGCCATCGCCCGCCCGCAGGAAGGAAGGGGAATAAAACATGGAGGACACGGTGTTATTATAGTGGCGGATCGGGCGTCAGCGGGGATCGGGAGATTATTTATTAACATATTTATTTATTTATTTATTTCCCTTGTCAGAAATGGCCGGGGTCCATGGCTGCGGCTGCTGAGAGGCAGGTGCAATATCATCGACATTTCGTTTCTCGGCATGGGCTCAACGAGGGCCGATCTACAGGCTGCTCTACACGCCCTCTGCTCCCCGGATACCACGCTGTCTGCGGGGGGAGAGGAATAGCTGGGCCGCGTCTGGAGGTGTGGATGAGGGGGGCCTCTTTACATCAACATATTAGAGCCAGTAATTTCAAGGTTATGCGCCGTTACACACAGCAACAGCCAGGCTTCCTTCAGTGAATCAGTGCATGCTGCAACATGACATAGGGTTGGTGGGCTTTATTTTAAAGAAACACTGATTGAATCCACCTTTTTCTGCATAAGAGGAACCAAAACCTTTTGACAGGCCTGAAAAAACTGTTGAGCCTCCTCATCTGGAAAACAGAAGCCGGTTCCAGCTGCCAAGATGATGGAGCTACAGATAGACGAGGTGGTGTACCAGGACGACTACGGCTCCGGGTCCGTGATGTCGGAACGGGTGTCGGGCCTGGCCAACAGCATCTACCGGGAGTTTGAGAGGTTGATCCGCAGCTATGACGAGGAGGTGGTGAAGGAGCTGATGCCGCTGGTGGTGAACGTCCTGGAGAACCTGGACGGGGTGCTGACGGAGAACCAGGAGCATGAGGTGGAGCTGGAGCTGCTGAAGGAGGACAATGAGCAGCTCATCACACAGTACGAGAGGGAGAAAGCGCTGAGGAAACAGGCGGAGGAGGTGAGTCACTCCCCCGGCTCTGATGGGCCTCTGCCCGCTCCATCACATCCAGCTTCACGCTGCATCCTCCCTGTCACGGTGCCCTGTCTGAACCGCCTCACCAGACATGTGACTCATGTTTAGGCCTGTGACAGCAGATTATTTTTAGTGTCAATGTACTGCAGACACTGCTGACCAATGTGCAGCAGCAGTGACTTCTACGAAGCTCTTAGAAATACAATCTATACCCCTATAATAGACTTTATTGGGTTTTAGTAGAACTGCTTATAACTAGGCAGGCTCACCCATTAGAAAATGTACTTTCTTTTTCTAAAAAAGGAAGACCAGACATTACCTGTTTACATTAACATTACACGTTTGTTTTTGTTGAGCTGTTATCGGTGCGGTTTTAAGTGTGGTAATGCAAAATCAAGCATCCTGCAAAATACAAATTATTTCGACAAAATCATGCTATTCTAAAACTGCTTTCTTGTGATATCATACATGTCAAGATGTGGAGGTCAATGTGAAGTCACTATTGAGCATACAAAGGAATGTTTAACAAGAAATCTGTTGCAGTGGAGTAAATATATGCAGTACAAGTACACACTGTCATGAAAACCTATTCATATATATGGACAACAGCATTTGATACTATAACAACTACTCATATACTACTAGGTTTGCTAATACCACTGTAGTATTTTTGGACCTTACTCAGTTTTTACTTTGACAGGTATTACAGGTATACTGTCACAACAACTGCAGCTGCAAATACTTCCCCATTGTTACTACAACTTACTACTAACAGTACTTCCACTTCTGCACACCATAATGCCAACAAAAAACATGACCAATATACAATACAAATCTCTGTTCTTAAATTAAACAAGTGAAATTAGTCTCCTTTTTAGTGCCCTTTCGTAAGGCCCGAGGTGCCACTCTGCACAGTTAAAGTATATATGCAAATGCCTGAGCACACAATATGCAAACACCAAGTGAGGACATGATAGCGTACAAACACTACATGGTGAAAAAGGGACAGTCTGCACAGCTCTGACAGACGACATGTTTAAGCACAACTCAGTGGGCGTTTACACTAAAAAACACAGCAAGAACAGGGACAAGAACAACAAAAGTGGACATCAATACAGAGCTATTACATTACCGGCAAAGCTCCACCTCCAGCAAATCGTTTCCCCCTCTCTGACCGGTGTAACAGCAGCCGTGGGATCCGGCAGGTTTTCATAAAGCAACTTGAATCCTCCTCCCATCCAAAGAGGCCTCAGCATATCACTGTCTGCAGCCCTGCTAGCATCAGCTTAGCTCAGCTTTCATCATCTGCTCTCCCGACACTGTGCTTCCTCCCTGTGGCGCTTATCTAGTTTGTTTTCACTTTAAGCTGTTAATGAGGAGAGGACTCTCTTGGTGTGTTAACATTTCAGGGTTAGGATATTTAAGCTTATTTTAATGTCATGGTATTAAAGAAATGTAGTTGCGTTGTAAGGAGCTGAGCCGGCTGAAGCTATTTTAATTGACAGATGCCAACAGGTCAAGACATGTTTTGTTTGACTAAATAGTGACTTAAACTTCAACTGAAAGTGTCTTTATGATAACTTGCTGGTGATTAAATAATCTTTAAAAATACTTTCTGTACTTTGATATAGAAATCTAAAGGGTCTAAATCAGACAATGTGCTGTTGGAAGAGCTATCCTTTTTTTGTTAAACAACACAAGATGTGATGCTGGTATGTAGCTTAATATACCAAAAGCCTCATGATAAAACATGCTTCAAAGCAGACTTAATCTCTGCCAAGATCTTGAATATGACACTGTTTATCTCAGTTAATAACCTTAACTCAGTTGCCTGCCTGCTTCCCTTTTCGTTTTCCCAACGAATGATACATTTCCACTCACCAGACCAGATTTGAAACTTCATATGTGACAGATATGTCCACAACATTCCCCTTTTTATAATAATGATACACTTTGCATTATCAATTAGAACTTTATTACTTATTTTCTCTATCGAGTGAAGGTTGTGGTGAGATTGATGCAGAGTAGGCTGTTTTGTTACTCTGACTGACAAACAGTTCACTGAGGCAGTTGGTGTTAAAGTGTCTTACATATAGCATATATTTATAATCTTTTACTATTTTATGTCTGAATGCCTTCACCAAAAGTTGTTTTTTAAATTGCACCCACACCTATTAAATGATAATGATCATTATATTTTATTGAGACCATTAAGTAGTTTGTTATCTAAATCACACAATATTTGTTTAAGACACATTTTTTTTACCATTTAGAATATAGTATTGTGGTGCTGCAGAGATGTCTTGGTATCCAAATATTATTTTTAAGATTGATCAAAAAACATTCTTTTTGTACAGATCCTGGCAAAAATCACACCATAGTAATTTTACATTTGATTTAAAGCTCTAATATCCTGAATCCTATCTCTGAAGATGATCCCATTTTTCTCAGTCCTAGCCTTATTAATATCTTTGGCATTTTAAAAGGTAGCAATTTACTTGGTTATAATCTAGTGATCTCTTTATGGTCAAGTGTATTTGATTGTTTCTTGATCTGCTGTTCTGAACTCTCTAAGATTATGTTAGCAGCCAGTGAGAGAAGTCAATTACATTAGGTTATACATTTAAATGGAACAAATAAACAGAGAGACAGTTTTGTCAGACTCTCACAGGGGTATAATGGGGGATGGGACAGTAGTGAGGGGTGGGGTAACATAGGAAATCAATAGTACACATAGCACACTGAGGGAGTCTGGCACTGTAACCTGATTTGTGTTTATGATGAGCAGAGACAGAACAACAACATCAGAAACAGAGAAAGAGATTGACGGTTGGAAAGCTGCAGTAAGAGCGAATTAACGCTTAGGAGAATAACAAGGAAAATAGTGTGAGGGAAAATCTCAGAGCCTGACAATAACCCTCCCTCCCACAAGACGTGCAGAAAGCGGCTCATATTACAAGGTTGTTCGACTCGAGCTAATGGTAAACAAAGCCACAGTCTGCTTATCACGCAGCCTTCACTAGCACAACCAGCATTACAGTTACTACAGCCACGTTAACACATTCAGCCATTTTGTAGCATCCTCCTTGTTGTTTCCTGCCTTGTTTTTCTGGGGCCGCCTTCTGGAACGATCCATCACTCTGTATCAAAGTGTGATGACAGTAAAACGTTGATAATCTGCCTCTCACTATTCTCCTAACGTGCTGTCTATGAATGGATTTACTATTGTGAGCAGTTCATAGATAACTGTTTTGAACTAATCCGCTTCAATGGAGAGCTGCAACGATTTATTGATTATTCAATCGACCCAAATATAACCGCCAACAATTTAGATAATGGATGAGTTGTTGTCGTTAAAAAAAGGCAGAAACAGGTTTTTTTCAGCCTCTGAAATAGAAGATTTCCTGCTTTTCTGTGTGAAAATCTCATGGTCTTCAAAGAACACTTAAAGACATGACTTTTGCTCTTAAGAAAGTGGGATTGACCTTGTTGCACTGTTTCATAAAATGTTAACTCATTGAGGAAAAAACATTAGATTAATTAATTTAGAAAATAACCTTTTCTTGCAGCCTTACTTTAATTCTTGGCCTGCAGATTAGGTCACCTAACATGCATCTTGACATGTGACTTGAGAACTTGAACGTATTTCAAACATAGACACATGCTAATAGCTTTTCTCCCTGTATCTCAGGAAGTACACGGTGTAAATATCTGGAAGTGTGACAACATTACAGTCAAATGCATTTAGCTACAGTTCCTCAGGGAAGCACATTATGTTTACTCTGTCATCACAAGGTTTCCTAATCACTTATTCAAACTGGATTCCACCCTATAAATACACATTTAAAGTATTATACCTGTGTATTTAATGTTTGCATAACTCAAATATCTTATGGGTAAATGCATCAATATGTTTTTAAAGAATCAATCAATCAATCAATCAATCAATCAATCAATCAATCAATCAATCAATCAATCAATCAATCAATCAATGTTTATTGATATAGCCCAATATCACAAATGTTACATTTGTCTCAGTGGACTTCACAGTTTGTACAGAATATCAGCATGACAATAGACACCCTCTATCCTTAGACCAGGGGTGGGGAACCTTTTTCCTCTCAAGGGCCATTTCAATTTTTACAATATCCTCAGAGGGCCGTACAAATTATTGACCTCTGCTTAAAAAAACTAAAATCACAGCCCATTCATTTCATTCTGTGCAAAGAAAAAGCAACCTCTTAATCCAGATAACTCACCATGACTCGCGTATGCATGCACGTGCACGGTGTGGCGTAACCACCAAAACAGAAAGATATGGAAACAAGATGTGTGCAAATGTATTTAGTTTCCTATCCATGTGAACTTGATTTAAGTGGGGGGGGGGGACCTAACTCCTCTAGGGGGGTCCGGGGGGCATGCTCCCCCGGGAAGATTTTTTTTTAAATGTTGAAGTTAAAAGCATCAATCTGGTGCACTTTGAGAGCAAAATTAGGAGATCTATGGAAACATCTCTCAACACCCAGATGAAACAGAACTCTAAGCAGATTTATTTTTCTTTATGAATATTTTACAAATCACTCCCCTTTCAAACTGTATTCTTCTTTATTAATAAGAACTTTTTTTTACTGTCATATAGTATTTTATACCTGTTTACTTTATTCTCTTATTTTTTTATAACTATAATGATCATATAAAGATGTGCCTTTACCTCACTGGTTGTAGAAAAAGCTTCTTATATTCGTTAGCATAGCTAGCTAACCAGATGCTAATAACAACAAAGTTATTGACTGTATGATCAGTATGACAGATCGCCACTGGGCTTACAACTAAAGACACAGACACGCAGAAACTGCGGCATGTGTACGGCTCCTTATCGGTACTGCAATTTCTGAAGTGCTGGAGTGGCGTTCTGGTGCTCTCCGTACCACGTGATGACACGTTAGGCTCGTGTTGTGTTCAAGGAACCTGACCTTGGCCAGGAAAAACAGGCATTCGCTTGTTTAATTTTTTTGCGGTCTAGATTTCTTACATTTTTTTCTTTTTTGCGTGTGTTTATAAATTACCTCGAGGGCCGTACCAAATTATCTCGCGGGCCGTATACGGCCCGGAGGCCGGAGGTTCCCCACCAGGGCCGCACTGGGAAAATAAGTCAGGCCGGGAATTATACACCCAGCCAGGCCACTACCAGTTTTCTTTTGTGCCATTTTTCTGGATTTATTTGTCAATATTTACAGCGTTGCTGCCCATAGTGATAGCCCTAAACTTTAAATCTACTACCCTAGAATAAACATATGGACATGGGTTACTGTTTAAAATAATGTGCAAATCTATTTAGGAACCTATGTGAACATATTTTAAGTGCAGGTGGACCTCAAATCCTATAGGGGGGTCCGGGGGCATGCTCCCCCGGTAAGATTTATTTTGTAAATGTTGGACTTAAATGCATCAATCTGGTTCACTTTGAGGGGGAAATAAAGAGACAACACCCATATGAAACAGAACTGTATACATTTAAATAATCATAAAATCATAATAACATGGCCATAACCAATAACATACCATATCCAATACGAAAAAACATTGAAACTTGTTTATTTATTTGTTTTTGGTACATTTATAGTTGTGAGTGTGTCTGTGCTCCTGAACCAGCCTCTCCTGTCTCCCTCCTCTCCCCCTGCTCCTCTTTGAGGCAGCAGCAAAGACTAGTTTTAGCTAACAAGTTTATCTTGCCCTTTTTTCACCTAGTTAAAACATTTTTTTAATTATTCATCCATATTTTACTAATCACTCCCCCTTCAAATGGAAATATGTGTTTACATAAATGGAGACCAAACCGTTTGAGACCCACAGAGAACTTAGACTAAGTTAACTATCTAAACACTCAGAGTCCTTTACCTCACCTGAGCTGTAGTTATCAGTCTCTCAGTCTGACTGGAGAGGACTCTCCTCCACCTTGTTGACAGCTCATGATATGCGTTAGCGCAGCTAGCTAGCACCAGATGCTAACAACAACAATACACGTAACCGGTGCACGCGCTTTCTCTCTCGCTCTCGCGCCACACATACATACCCTCCCGAGCTTGAATGACACACAGAGACCAATCGAGGGCATTAGTATGATCTGTATGAAAGTGGCCATGTCGGCAGGCCACATCATGGAGACAGCCAGTCACCCTCTGTGAGGCAGAGTCAGACCCACATTTGCGCAGCGTTGCGTTCACAATCCATACATAAAAAACAGAATCCTCAGGCCAGCAGGCCACTTAACAGGCCAGGCCATCGGGAAACCTCCCGGTCCTCCCGATGGCCAGTCCGGGCCTGTTCCCCACCCCTGCCTTAGACCCTCACATCGTACAAGGAAAAACTTCCGGAGAAAACCCACAGTTTAAAGGGAAAAATGGGAGAAACCTCAGGGAGAGCAACAGAGGAGGGATCCTTCTCGCAGGACGGACAGACGTGCATTAGATGCCGTATGTAAATCGAAAAGATAATACATTTACAACATAGGTAATCCAAATGTTTGGAATCTAGTCATACATAATGTACGCTGTACCTCTTAAATGTTATAATAGTAGAGAGATGAGAGAAGGCATTTAAAGAGTGTTATTTTAGGCAGAAGGTAGAGCTTCTGCTCTGAAGGTAGAGCTACTGAAAAGCATTGTGCTGGTTCCTAGTTTTAGGCCATTTTAAGTAGGCCATTACATCAGTTGGTACCACTTTTCAATAAGACTACACTGATAAAGGATTCATAAAGGGTTTATAATTAGGTTATTAATTAGGTTGTAAACACTTTATTAATCATTAAGAACCATTTATAAACCAGTTCTAACATAGTTTTCATACGTCAACACAGGCTCACTATTTGGCAAGATGACTAAGCCTTACATTGGCTACGCTTACTTCGTCTTCTTCATCAGCCAGCATCCTTGGTATCTGTTGTTCACTGAGTTGATTCTCCCCCTTCCATCTTGATGTTTCTTGGCATCTCTTTATGACCATTTATTTACGAGTTACTAACATATAATTGCCAAAAGGGAGCCTTATTGTAAAACACATTCCCATGTATTAATGAGTTACTACCATTTCTAATAAGGCTTAGCAGTACAGATAAATGTGGGCTCACTATTTGGCAAGCAACCGGTCACAGTTGCCCTGTTTATCTCATGTCTTATAAAAGCTTATTAACGATTTATAAAGTGTTCACAACCTAATTAATAAATGAATTACAAACTATTGGTAAACCCTTTGTAAGGGTAGTCTTATTGTAAAGTTGTACCCATCATTATTTTAATAAAAAAGACACCTAATACAAGCAGAAACCTTTCCTGCTGCTTCTTTTATTTAAATTAGTCATTGTTTTTGTGTAAGGCACTGCATTGCACTACATAACACTATGCTGCTCATCATATATGAGTGTTTCATGTTAAAAAAGATGGAATATATAATTGTTTGTTTAGTCAGGTGGTTTATTTCACATACTTGTTTTTCAGTTATTACATTGGTAGCAAATGCTCACAAAACAACACAGTATCTACAGACGGGTGTTTATTTAGCTTGTCAGTTTATAATAACATGCAAATTGACCTTTGATTGAGTCGTGTTTTTGTCATTTGGTTGATTTGCTCTAGAAACCTGGCTTTTTTAATAAGCCTGCAAGAAGAGTAAGATCTCTCCAACCTCTCACCCTCAGAGTCGGATACGATCAGCAGCAGAAAGGACTAATTGGTTCATTTCCTGCTTAAATCCACTCTGCATTTGACGAACAAGTAGGAGTGTTGTCTGCCGGATATCAATATTAGTTTCTGTATCAAACGGAAGGTCTTTATATTATAGCAAGTGCCTTTGTGTGCATTGAATATCTGCTGCAGGGTCCTGGTTGAATAGTCGCCCTTCAGTCAGAGGATTACAGTGTTAAGACTTTGTGGACTGCTGAACTGAAAAAAGGAGGACATTGTGAAGAGTTTTATAATAAAAAAGAACAAAAACAAACAGGGAAATGGAAGTAGACAGCTCTGTGTTTGAACATTACTCAGCCACAGAGTTTATGTTTACACTGTATAACCAGCTGAGGTATTTTATAGAGCTGCTAAAACCTTTCTCCAAGAGACAAAAGCTTTAAAAGAATGATTTATTGAAAACACTTTTTGACTTATTGACTCTCAACAATTCTATTATTACAGTGCATGCTGTCTATTAACCAAAAGCATAGTAGCCTTAATCTTAGTCTGGTGTTTCTTTCCATATTGAACCAACATGTAATATAATCATCTTTGGTGCAGTTTATGAATGTATTCCCAGCTGTTTTACACATCTTTGTTCCCGTCTCCTCCTTTTAGAAATTCATTGAATTTGAGGATGCGTTGGAAGCTGAGAAGAAGGATCTGCAGGTGCAGGTGGAGTTTCTGGAGCTGCAGTCCAAACAGCAGGAGCTCAAATCAAAGAACTACTCCGACCAGAGTGAGTGGGAAAACATCCCAGCTGATAACGTCTGTATTCTTACAATTACAAGCACGTGTGACTGCTTCTTCACGGGTGTCTCTGGAAGAGCTGAAACCAGTAGCTATAGTCTGGTCCAAGTTGATCCTTACACATAACACAACGAGAATATAAACAAAAACATCCAGTTGTGACTCATGGCCTTTAGTCTGGGGAGTATGACCAAAACCTTCTATCCTGATATAGATCATTTCATATCTTGATGGATTTCAGGATATATTTGGTTTTCTGGGAAATTACCCAACATCTGTATCTTTATGAAAAAGCCCAAAACACATTGTGAAATGTACATTTTTCTCTTTTATGTCACTCTTAAATTGAGTTAAATAAACTGTCATGAAACCCCAGTTCCCCCCGTGACAAATAAAGTATTTGATTCAGATTTTGATTATCATAAAGCCTATTTTTGAAATCTCCTCTGTGATTGGCATGTCATGTTTTCTTATGTGATGCGGTCAGGATTCACAGTGGTTTACTGCAAATTAGCTTGAATAGTAACTTAGAAAATACTCCCTGGTAAGTCTTTGCTCCAACTATTATAATCCGTACTCTTTTCTAAACTGTTTTCTCTCTCTGTCTCCCAGTCGTGCGGTTGGAGGAGCGAGAATCAGACATGAAGAAAGAGTACAACGCTCTGCACCAGCGCCACACTGAGGTGAGGGCAACATTCAGCTTCGCAACTTCACAACTGGAGTCTCAACACATTCATCTTAGCTTCATCTTGAACATTCCCATTGTTATATCTCCAAAATCAACCAAAGACACATGCCTGTTAACTAATTTGATTCCTGCTAAAATGACCACCCTTCAACCATATTGCTTTATTTTACAGTCCAGGCAGCCATTGATTTAATCTTAGAAAGTCAGTAAAGACATGTTTGTTAGTCTTATTGATTATCTGTCACAACAACTATTCGTATATTATTGGAAAACAAGGTTTTCCTGGAAAGTACAGAAACACAATACAGAAAAAAAGGTGAATAATAAGGGTCACCATTACCACCTTCGTGTGTTTTGTATTAAATAAACAGCAATATGCAAAAGCACTGGTGTGGTCCCTTTGAGATTAAGAATCCCATGGTCCTTGGCGTTATCAAAATATTAGACTATTATTAATGTATTATTATCCAAACTTCTTTACTTACCCATCCAGGAATGTCTCTCATGCTTTCTTGTCCTAAAACATGTCCTAAACATATAACTTTCCTCTCCTTTTCTTCTCACATTTTCCCTTTTTGTTTGTCATTGTGTATCTCAGATGATCCAGACATACGTCGAGCACATAGAGCGGTCCAAAATGCAGCAGGCGGGGAGCAACAGCCAATCAGAAGGCACGGGCTGTGGACGAATGTGAGTTATTTTAATGTGTGTGTTGGTGTGTAAAGGTTGTTTGTATATCTTGTTCACCCATTGTGTTGTTGCTGATGTTTCATGTTTTGTCCTGAATGTATTAGGCTCCACATGATTCAAAATGCTCATTGATGCTGGTCCTTGTTTGTCAGTAAATACATGAACAGCCGATACGTTTGACTTATAATATACTATTTGAGGAATAAGATTAAGATACGTAGGATTCTTTCTGACTCATGTGATCCAAATATTTCCAATAACCTTAAAGCCAGAGGCGAATATTTGTTTAAAAAAAGACAGATGTTATCATTTATAAAGATTCACATCGTGTTTTTATGGACAAAATATTCTGCTCCAAATCATATTTGTTGGCATTTAGCTTTTTGAAAACAACCTTGTCACTGCTGTCAAATTGTGCAGCCTTGTGGGAAAATCTGAAGTTTATTTTTCCGGCTCGCAGAATCCAGCAGTTAGCCAGCCCATGAGTCATGAATATTTATAAGCACGAAGAGAGAGGAGGAGTGAGACATCTGCTGCAGCTACTGAAGCTGAACTGCATTTGTTATGTTCACTAAACAGTATCTTGAATATCGATCCACTAAACTGTCTCCTTCCTAAAACGAAAAGTCTGTGTGAACCAATAGAAACAGAGGACTGTGTTTACTTGTGATGGTTTGCTCATCATTTCTTTAGGATAGTGGTCATAATGATTGAATTATAAACATTAATGAGACTTACAAGATTCATAACTTCTTAACAAACGGCTGAGCAGCTTAATGGAAACTAAGAACAACCTTAAAAAAGCAACTCAATAATACTTTAAAACTGAAATCAACTTGTGTGTGTGTGTGTTTTCGTATGTCATGGCATGTTCATGTCACCTGTCTCTCTCTAATCACTGTCTGTCTGTTTGCTGGCTTGCTCTCTGTTGCTGCTGTTTGCACAGTCAACGCCACACATGGAGGAAAAGGTAAATCCCACAGCGGCCCTCACGCCCCCCCCCCCCCCTTCAGCTCCTCTGTCTAAACTGGCCTGCTCTTGATTTGCTGATACCACCAAAGCGCCTAAACACCCTATTTATAAAAGTGTTTCTTTATGTGTTTGGGTTAGTAGTTAAGATGCTTGTGACAACATTTTATTGCCTTGAATGTATACATCATTTTGCATTCTGATAACAAATAGGGAATGGTTCAGAGATCATGTTAAGAGATGCATTATGTTCCAGTTTTATCCTCTTTTCCCTCATGGGTTGCCAGTCAGTCTTTCCCTTTGCCCTTCTACCAAAAGTGAAACAATAATATTAATCAAAGATGGAAGCATTTATATGGAAATGCATTCATATAAAATAAACTGTAATAGGTATCTGCAGCAGTTCATGTAATTTTGTACTACTTTCTGATGTGGGAAAAACAAGATCTCAATCTAGCATTACACAAACAGAAGCCATTAGTCTGAGGTTTTGTAGAGCAGCAGATACACTAGGGATGAGTGCATCTCTTGGGGCGGTGGTGGCGAAGTCGTTAGGGACTTGGCTTGGCAACTGGAAGGTCACCAGTTCAAGTCCCGGCAAGACCAAGTACTACCGAGGTGTCCCTGAGCACCGTTCCCTAACTGCTCCCCGGGCGCTGTTCAAAATGGCAGCACACTGCTCCTAACACTAGGATGGGTCAAATGCAGAGAAACAATTTCCCCACGGGGATTAATAAAGTATATCAATATAAAAAAAAAAATCTCTGAGTTGATTTTCTGGTTAATTTTATTTTGTAACATTTATTTCATAAACTAGTCTTTAATCGGTAATCAGGTACTCGTGAAATTTGTATGACAGTTAGTCGGCTAAGAATATATTTGGTCGCACCCGGCACACACAGTTGCAGCGAGTTTTGTTAAGGCCTAACATAAACAAAACACTTTTTGTAGTTAATCAGCCATACATGAAACTGATTCCTGGTTACAAACGCTACCTGTAGTTTTTTATTCTCTGCCTGTTTGAATGACTTGCATCCGTATCCCCGATACTAGGACAATATGAATGTTCTTATGGACTGGACTGCATGCCCTCCTGCTCCTGTTGCTTCTCGCTGCAGGGCTTGTAAATCAGCTGTTTGCCCTTAAATCTCTATCCATGTCTTACTTTAATTCCACATTACTCATTTTTATATACTTTAATGGGGGTTTGATTTCCGGCTTTTTCTGTTTCTGGAGCCCCGAAGAAGAAAAAAATGATTGAATGTGACAAATGAATACTCATTAATACCCCCCCCCCCCTCTCTCTGTGTGTTCTCTGCCAGCAGCAAAGCGGAGCGCCCGCCTTCATTGAGCCTGTACCCCAGCGGCGAGGGAATGGTACGTGGGGGTCTCGGGGGGGCTGCCTATCAGGTGGGACAGACGGCAGCCATGTTGTCCTCCACGGCCACAATCACAGCCCGGGGGCGGGGGGGGGGGGGGGGGGAGTGATCACAGCCACATGGACCCCCTCCCCTCCACACCTGCTTGTGTCACTTTAAAGACACTTTTCTATTCACGTCACTTGGAAATCTATCATTTCAAAGTCAGTGTTGTTGACTCAAGCAAGCATGGGTCCAAACTGTGTGTTTACTGATTTCCTGCCATGTTTCTGCTTCATGGTTTATTATAGATATTTAACTGTTTAAGAGAAACAGCCAAGGTAAGAAAAAAGAGGGAAAAAGGAAAGTGTTGCCTTCTTGTTGTCGCTTCTTCCTGGTATCTAGCTTTGACAACGTGCTAAGAGCGTATACACACCTCAAGGTTAAGATTTTAGGACATAGCCACCTTTATTTTGTAAGTTTCAGCATTTAAAGACTAACATTGTTTTTGAGTCTTTTGCTGAGAGTTATGCAGAAATCAACTTGATTGATTTGTAATTTAGCATTTTTTAACAGAACACCCCAAATTTGACGAGGTTAAATTGGGAAAACCATATTCAAACTTGGACTTGTCCAAAATAAGTGACAGTAGTTTGCGCTCAAAACCCTGTACGCCATTCAAAACAAAATACAGCCTCAAATGGGATTATTCAACAAAACATGAAGCTGCTTACAAATCATAGCAACTCTATCTAGTAATTTGATTGTGCTACCAGTCACTGTAGTTGCTAGAAATAAAACGAGCTGTGCAAGTATTGTATGTAAAAAATGATCGCCTGTCTCCACTATATACTCTTATACTGCTGTCTCTCTCCTCTGTCCTCGTCTCGCTCCACTAAGGAGGACGGATCAGAGTCCGACTCGGTGGCAGCGACACCCAGCAGCACAGGGAGCAAGTCCAACACCCCCACCTCCACCGTCCCCTCGGCCACCGTCACCCCCATCAACGAGGGCTTCGTTCCGCAGGCGGAGTTCGATGCGATGCGAGCTGGGAACCGCAGGAAAGGTGCGAAGCGGCTCAGCAGGAACATGGAGGTGCAGGTTTCTCAGGAGACCAGGAACGTCAGCATCGGTAAGAAGACGCCACAGAACAGATGATTATATTTAACTTTATCGTCATTGTATTGAGTAAAAATACTGGGACAGTGAAGCATCTAACCAGGGCAAAGGAAACAGTTGAGTGCAGTGTAGGTTATTGGTATAATATATGTATATAAATGTGACAAATACAAAAAAGCTACAGTATATAGAGTATTAACAGTGTTTCTGGGCTTAAACACTATGAACAGTAGCTTAAATATTGAATAGACTAAAAATAAAAACAGTATAGACATATACAGAGTAAATATGAAAACACTTTAGTAAATAATTGGCATAAAACCTCGCTAGTTTAGATCTGTAGCGTCTCAGATATGGAACTTAGACATTGTTCACTCCCAAATAATAAATTGGTGCATTTTGCGCATAAAGAAATAGGATATTTGACGTTCAGTTGTGTTTTCGCCATGTTTTCCAGGCATGGGAAGCAGCGATGAGTGGTCCGAGTTTCAGGAGATCATCGATTCGACCCCTGAGCTGGACATGTGTGTGGACCCCCGTGTGTACGGAGGAGGAAACAGGTACAAATATACTGTGGCTGCATCACTGGACTGCCCTAACAAAGTGTTGTATTTTGAATTAAATGATGTATTCTATGAATTATGTATCAGTGGTGATTTTCCCAGCTGGGCTACATAGTAATGATTTGACCAGGTACAAGTCTTAGGACCAAAAGTTGCAATAGAAGCGAGTACAAGTGATAAATAGTAAGTTATATCTTTGTTTATTGCTATTGTTTATTAAATGTCATGTGTGTTTCAGCCCCTCCCAGGGCATCGTGAACGAGGCCTTCGGCATCAACACCGACTCTCTCTACCACGAGATCAAAGACGCCAAATCAGACATCATCGGAGACGTAGACGCAGGCGCCGAGCTGCTAGGTGCGAACAGGCCTGTGTCTTCCATAGGTTTAGATGTGTTCAAGGGTTCAAGTGGAATACCTGCCCTAAAGCTTGGCAGTAGAAATCTCTCTTACATTTCAGTGTATTCACTCAAAGGGATGCATTCAACTGAAGTGATCATTGTCCCGCTTTCCGAATTAGAAATCCTTTATTTGTCCCGTAACGGGGAAATTAACGGTTTCACAGGAGCTAAAGTACAGTGCAGATTAAAGTAAATAGAGCAAACTTACATATTATATAAAAAGCAGGCACAAACAAGTAACAAAATAAAAGAACAGATAAGTACAGAAAACTAAGTTGCAGTCTTTCTTCCTTCTAGGCTTCTACTGTAAGCTTACATGCCAGTTATGTGTATTATTATAACTGTTAGATTTAGAGTAGATCCAAAGTAAGGGAAACGCAGGCTGATGCATGTGACTGTTACATAAAGGCATCTTTTCTTTTGGCTCTGTGCTATTGCAGGGCAGGAGCTCCATGTGAGGCTGTGTGAATGTGCCACTGCACTGACTTTTACTTTGCATTGTTGAGGCTGAAATGTTCTCTGTGCCGGCAGCTTATCTCTCCGTCACATCCTGAAAAAACATACAATCCCTCTCTGGCTGCACCCCCGACCCGCGCTGCTCATCCATGCAGTGTTTTTATTATTTGTATTTGATCATTTCTTTAACTTTTCTCTTCTTTCTTTTTTGGATGTTTAGTAAAGTCCATTTCAAAAGCTGCACGTTTAAACAGATCCTTTAAAAGTTTAATTTACCATTTATTTGACTTCATTGCACTTTATGCTTGTTACTTTGACAAACACACTTTAAGGGGATTCTGGTGGATTCTTCATTTCAGTTTTTAGGGGATTTTGGTATTATTCATCGTCAGAAACGGAACAGAGGATTTTCTCCCTCTTCTTGTCCATCTGATAACTTCTCACACGTTTTCTTTTTTTTCCTTTTTATGTGCTTCTGCTGGTGACACCCATAGGCGAGTTCTCAGGTGTGTATCTGATCATGCATTGGTTGGTATATATTTTTATTTTTTACCTCTTTCGTCTCCTCTCTTATTTCTAAACTCCACATCTAAGGGTAGGTATAAACCAGTGTTTACGCATTAGAAGAAGGAACAATACAACAGCTTATTATTATTATCCTATTGCCCTGAACTTTGATGATACAGTAGATGCCAATATACATAAGTACAACTGTTCCTTTAAAGTCACAGTGAAATCATTGAAATCCTTTGTGATCGTCACAAGCTGTCAGACTGCATTGACTTCATAGACCTTTTTCTTTTAGTCTCTCACATACTTACAATATAACTCAACGGTTTCTAATGACTCCTTTAATCCGGTTCAAACAGGAACTGCATCATTTCACAGAAGCAATATCGTAAAATATGTTTCACTGGGACTTTAAATGAATGTAATACCTGTTTCTGAGACACAGCAGCGTTTGTTCAAATGAATAAATGCTTATCAGCATCTTCTCTCTACTCTTTTCCATTCCTGTACTTCACATTTTCCTCTCTGATACATGACCTCTCCTCTTCCTCCACTTTTTGACTTTTCTCCCTTCTTCTTCTTCTTCTTCTTCTGCCTCCAGTCCGCGATGATTTCTTCGGTAAGGCGCACCTTGCCTACTCTCGTGCTCACATTATGCTTGTTCTGTTGTTCCCTGGCCGCTCGTTTTGCCATCTTTCTGGTTCCTTATTTGTGTCCGTGTTGCTTTTATTAACATTCTGAACCACATTCGCATCTCCCATACGTAATGTTTAGATATCTGTCAATATGAAGCTGCTCATTTTTAGAACAAAAAAAGGAAGCTACAGAATGATCTAAGCAGGTAAAGAGGCACTACAATCAAGAACAAATTGTGAAAGTCTTTGAAGGACACACAGCCAAAACTAAAGAACAAAGTGCTTCATCAGAGGTTCTTTTTTCGTTGGACTTCTTTGTTTACTTTTGTAACATAGTTACATTACTATAATAATAATAATAATAACTTTATTTGTATAGCACCTTTCATACAGGGGATTGCAGTTCAAAGTGCTTTACATCAGTAAAAAATAAGACATAAAATCAGTGTAAAACAAGCAGCAAGAGCAAAGCATAAAATGGGATAAAAATAATTAAAAATAAAAACATGGGGAATAAAACATAGAGAAATAGTGCAATGTCAATCACAGAGAATAGTGCAGTATAATAGTGTAAAATCAGTAAAATGCTTTGGTAAAGAGATAGAGAGAGTTTTAAGCTGCCTTTTAAAAATGCCTAATGTATTGGCTTCCCTAATATTGTTGGGTAACGTGTTCCACAGTTTTGGGGCGTAGTTTACAAAGGCTGCATCACCGATCTTCTTATGACTCTGGTGACCTCTAATAGACCTGCATCTGATGATCGCAGTGTTCTGGCGGGTGTGTAATTTATTAGAGAGTCAGCAATGTAGCTGGGTCCTTGTCCATTTAGAGCTTTGTATATGAGGAGAAGCACCTTAAAATCAATTCTAAAAGTTACAGGAAGCCAGTGTAGAGTAGCTAAGACAGGACTAACGTGTTCCCTCCTTTTGGTATTCGTTAGTAGTCTAGCTGCAGAGTTTTGAATGAGCTGGAGTCTTCCAATAGCTTATAACACTTGCACTTCTATTTGCTAGCGCTCCAACAAATTGTATGTGATAGGCTAAGGGGCGGGGCATTCTCTAAGCAGTTGACCAATCACAACAGAGCCAGCCAGCTAACTAATCAGAGTAGACTGGGCTCTGGTTTCAGACAGAGGGTGAAAAGAGGAGCTGCAGCACAGGCAGTATGAGGAAAATAAAGAGCTTTTTGAACATTAAAGCATGGAGACATGTCAGAGTAGAGGAACAACATACAGATATGATCCTGGAAATAAGCAGAACAGGACCCCTTTAAGACTGCAGTGAAAAGCGTCAGTCTAAGCCTGAAGTAGACACAAGTGGAACCCAGAAAGATGGACACCAACCTTTATGTAATTTTGATGTTGTGATATGTGATCTGCCTGCAGAGATTTCTAACCCAGAGTTCAGCAAGTACTCGTTTCTCTGTGGACAGCACACACCATGTGGCACTTCGTATAATATAATGTCTTGGCTATTTTGTTTTTGTTTTGTTTCTTATTTCCAAATGTTTCTGTGTTGAAGCTTCTGCTTATACTTTGTGCGCTTGGCTTCTGTTGCACAGGGCCTGCTGCTTGCATGTACAATTTTCAGTTGATATCCAGCAATGATAAAGATAAAAAGATTTAATTTAGGAGTTAATAGGTTGAGCTTGACATTAACATATGTGTATGTGCAGTCAAATATTGTTTAGTCTAGTTTCATCCTAGTGTTATCCAGATATTTAACATCCCTCTTTACCTGACGTAGTTTCCTTGTTAGCGAGAGAGGTCCAATCAACAATCTGTTCATTCATTTTCTTATTTAATTATTAAACCTTTAATAAAAGGTACGGGATTGAAAACCTCCACAATCCTGTACCTTTTATTGAGGGTTAAATAATTAGATTGGCTGGTCTGAAAGGCTGCATTGCAACTTTGGGATTCTAATTGTTCTTATCTATCGTTGTATTTATTGATGTATGGATGTTTGTGATGGTTAACAGAGATGTTATTTATTTCAGGGATGGGTAAAGAGGTGGAAAACCTGCTGACAGAGAACAAACAGCTCCTAGAGACCAAGTAAGAGACACAGAGAAGATTACTGTGTGTGTATTTGTCTCTGATATGGATATGAAACAAGTTGTGATTAATGTATATATACAATGGAACTTAAACATACTGGCATCACTTAACCTTACATTTAGCTAAGAAGCTAATATTTTTCACCAAAGATAGGACACTTTTTTAATTCAACATTTATATTTTTTTAAGTGAATAACAAATCATCTTTAATTAAAAGGCAGTTCTTATGAGTGTTATCATTAGCGTTATTGATCTCAATGGTTTTGATATCTTTCTTTTTGCTCTTTTCTCCACAGAAATGCTCTCAACATTGTGAAAAATGACCTTATTGCCAAAGTGGACGAGCTGTCGGGGGAGCATGAGGTGCTGAGGGAGGAGGTGGAGGCTCTGAGGCAGTCCAAGAACAAAGTGGAGGCCAGAGTCAAGGAGCTGGAGGAGGAGCTCAGGAGGTGGACATACCAAAGTTGTATTTTTGTTAACATGTATGTTACGTCCCCACTAGGGGATGAGGAAATGCAACACACACCAGTTGGAATTGGTAAATAATTATAAGGAGTTTATTAAACAGCAGGATAACAAAATGGAAGGCAAGCAACTTGAAACAAACAATAGGGCCACAAGGGTGCGGGTTTAACTGAGCACCCAAACAAAGGAAGGACTCTAAAAAGGGAGCCTATTTAAATACAAAGAAATAGACACTAATAAACAAAAATAGTAACAAAACAACCCTCACTATTAAAGTGGTACAGACTAACGAAAAGGAGTCTGTATGAAAACACAGCTAAGCTAAATGACCGCAGTCAACGTAAATGCTAAACTACTCTAAACATATCTAATCATAACCACACTACTAAACACGGACCACACGAGTTAACCACTGTTAACAGATTTGTACACAATCAAAGAGCACGTAGCGAGAGGCGTCTGTTCACACAACAGAGCCTCCCGACTGATCGTTGTCCCCAGGCTTTGTAGTCGTCTCGGAAGGTGTGCGCCGGATGTGCGCTGGGATTGGAGCGTGTCGGGCCCGGCGTGCTCCAATCCCAATCTTCGGGGGCGGACCAGGAGATGGGTAGCCAAGGACCTCAGCGCAACCGCACAGCTCATTTACATAAAACACATTCAAAACAGAGTTACCAGGACCGGGGAGGCGGCGGCCGTAACAATGATGATGATATGATCCCTCAAAATTAGAATGAATAAAGAAACAGGGCAGCAGTTAGGAGACAATTACATTCATCCTTCAGCCTAACTGCTGTTGACCTGCATCTTGGAAACAAACACAGACGAAGAGTAACATGATAGTCTTGAAAAGGTGACATGAGAACAAGAGGATAACATGTTTGTATACAGATCTCAGTTTTTCTGGTTTCATGAAACAAAACTTGTTCTCATTTAACGTCTGTAATTTCTAAGGTGATAATGTTACTTTGTTCTACGTCCTCAGTTGGAATAGTTTCTGCTGTTCACCAGGCTTTATTCATTTTCAGTATGCTATTTTATTTGTATTTATAGACAAATGTGCGTTCAATAGAAAGATCACTTTCACAGGCAGTTAAAGCTGACGTTTTACTGCTAAAAAGTGCTAAGTAGTAATTTTTTAAAACTCATTTTGACGCAGTGCCAGAGGCTGAACAAACATCTTTATGACACCTAATAAATCTTAAGCGACATTACATACACTTGAGACAGTTTGAGGTCCCAGAAGAAATTCATGGCTGGTCATTTTAGATAGAAAGAAAGTAGATAAGATCAAACTACAACTGAGAAGAGACACAGAGTATAAAGTGTGTTTGTCTGAAATACTTACCAAAACACGAGGCCTTCTCAAAAAGGTCCCACATTTCTCCCAGTCTCAGTGGACCAGCATGTCCAGATGTTCACGAGTCCAAATAAAGTTTCCTAATTCGTTGTTTCTCTCCGGGCTGCAGGTTAAGAGCAGAGGCTCTCGGTGCGTCTCGGGACTCAAAGGATGAAGCAGGCGATGACGTGAGTAAACTGCATTACTGAGTTATTTTCAAAAGTAAAATAAATGAATACTTCTAAAACAAAATGTAACTATGTGTAAACTCAACTGTCTTAATTACTCACATTTGAGCAGATGGAATCCTCATTATTCTACATTTTGGTTGTTTGGTTGCAGTGGAAGAACACTTTGAACACATTCAAACTTAACCCGCTGCCAGTATAGGGCACCGCTCTGCATGTAAATCTGTGCTTTCACATCTTCTGTAATAACTAAATGACGCTCTGCTCTTGTGTGTCCAGTTTTCATCGCCCATGCAGGACGGAGACATGACGATGACGCAGCGGCGGAGGTTCACCCGGGTGGAGATGGCCCGAGTTCTGATGGAGAGGAACCAGTACAAAGAGAGGCTGATGGAGCTGCAGGAGGCCGTGCGGTGGACCGAGATGATCAGGTAGACCAAAGGAAGCTTTAAACTAGGGAAGGAAAAACGTATGTGATCACAAGAAGCATACAGCAAACTAAAAGGTCTACTATGCTCTCCAAAAAGCTGCAAGATCTCTCAATACTCAGGAAACTAAACAGTTTTAAGCAGAATTTTGTGTTTTTATACTAATTATCTTACCGTACGGGTATATTTTTCAAAATTGTCAATTTAAAAGGTTCTATTTTTGTGTGCTGTGTTAGTTTGGCTCTACTTTAATTGTTTTCCTTCTCCTCACACCTCTGTTCCCTCTCAGGGCGTCCAGAGAAAGTCCTCAAATGTCAGAGAAAAAGAAGTCCACCATCTGGCAGTTGTAAGAATCAGCTTTTTCTTCAACTTATTCAAATGATATATGAACTTCTTTGACTGTAACAACACTGTTGTGAATAATACTGTGCAACAATTACTTTTCCACATGTTATTCATGCCGTTACTGGCTGCTACATCACTGCTTTATATGACTTACTTTTAAAACTGGTGCTGCTTATTTTTATTAGCATGGATGTGTACTTATTTGATTTTATATTATTCAAATATGTTTGCATCTTTAGTTAATAGGAAAATCTACTTATTATGTTGGCCTTTTATCAGCAATGTCCCCCTTTGCTGTACAAATTAAATTTAAATTTAAATGTAATTAAAATGTAATTAAAATTAAATTAATTAAATTAAAATGATAGATAGATAGATAGATAGATAGATAGATAGATAGATAGATAGATAGATAGATAGATAGATAGATAGATAGATAGATAGATAGATAGATAGATAGATGGATAGATAGATAGATGGATGGATAGATAGATAGATAGATAGATAGATAGATAGATAGATAGATAGATAGATAGATAGATAGATGGATAGATAGATGGATAGATAGATAGATAGATAGATAGATGGATAGATAGATAGATAGATAGATAGACAGACAGACAGACAGACAGACAGACAGACAGACAGACAGACAGACAGACAGACAGACAGACAGACAGACAGACAGACAGACAGACAGACAGACAGACAGACAGACAGACAGACAGACAGACAGACAGACAGACGGATAGATAGATGGATAGATACTTTATTGATCCCAATTTGTTATCTCACTTTCAACTGCTCTGTACTTGTTATTAACTGATATTGATGAAACTGATTTGCTTGACTGTCTCAAATTGTAATGATTGTATGCATTGCTTGAATTTTACTTAACAGACTGTATGTGGTTTGTCTTGTGTGTCATGTTTTGCATTTTGTCTTTTTGTTTATGTATGTCTGTAAGTTGTTGCTATTGTCGGGACCCCCTTGAAAAGGAGATGGTGCATCTCAAGGGGTTTATCCCAATCAATAACATTTATATATATATATATATATATATATATTTGGGACATGTTTGCGTTGCAGTAGCATAAAAAACATGGCAATGTACATAAGAGAAATTAAGACACTAGAAATAAACAATCCAAAATATTTCTGAAGTAGAAATAAGATAGCATTAAAAAGTAAAAAAATATACATGTGGAAATATACATGTCCAGTAACAAAATATAATGCAGGATATTAGATATACATTAATTGTGCAAGAAATTGATTATTCAATATTAAATTGAATAATCAATTTCTATGGAACAAATAATGGATTTATGAATTAGAAATAACCTGATTGATAACAAATGAATCTGTGAAACATGAAGGTAAAACCCCTCTTCCTCTATCCTCCAGCTTCGCCCGTCTCTTCAGCACGTCGTCCAGCCCTCCGCCCGTCAAGCGGCCGTACTACAGCGTCAACATCCACTACAAGTCTCCCTCGCCCGCCAGCTTCTCTCAACGCCGCAGCCACACCATGTGCCAGATCTCCACCTCCAACCGCACTCTGGAGTTCTTCCCCGAAGAGTGAGCAGGAACCAGATAGAAAACTTCTTTAAACCTAACCTCTCTAAAACCTCCGTCCTTACCTGCCTCACACTCTGCTGTAGCCTGAACGCCTGGTCGCTTGCTCGCTTTGCAGAAGCTTGGAGAGTAGAACACTTCAAGCTGCTTATTCAGAATTCAACATAGAAGTGGCAGGTTTAATTCACACACTGTTGTGTGTAGTGCCTTCACATCCCTTTAAGACAAATGTGTTCATGCATGTGAAAGGAAATATTCTGAATAACGGTAACATGTGGTTTTAGCTATTGTATAACTTTTATATGAACAAGATGATTTGGAAAGATACAGTTATTTTTAATAGTAGAGTTTCTATAGTTACATAATTTTAATTGTTATTCCAACATTTAACATTTTTTTGAATTGGAGAGTTTGTTTTCATGTATCCTTCTCAAGTTATATATTTGTTGTAACATCTCAGGTACACAGACAGAAGTACATTTGGCGATAGATCTATCACTCACACAAAGACACAAAGTTATAATATTGAACATTTACAAATATTTTATGATTTTCTTGTGTGATCTAATTCAATGGCTTGGCTTGAGCTGGAATAGAGTTGACTTTCACTTGTGCTGATAACCACTGCTTTCCTCTAGCTCTTTTGCTGCTGGCTGGCCAGGCTGCTAACGCTTCGCTCTCTCTCTCTCTCTCTCTCTCTCTCTCTCTCTCTCTCTCTCTCTCTCTCTCTCTCTCTCTCTCTCTCTCTCTTCCCCTCCTCTCTTCCTCTCTTCCCTCCGCCTGTTGCTCACAGACTGGCCAGTAACGGTGTTGCGTCTCTCCTCAGCGACTCGGCACTGTTGGCCCGCCGAGAGCAGCGGCGTGAACAGTACCGGCAGGTCCGCGAGCACATGAGGCGCGACGACGGCATCATGCAGGCGTGTGGCTGGAGCGTGCCGTCTCGCTTCAAACAGGTACACACACACACACACACACACACACACACACACACAACCATCTGTTATCCCTCTTGATCTCCTTATACATGTAGAATAACCCCGCAGCTCACTGATGTGGATAAGTTACTGACAGAAACAGTCAATAAATCATGAAAACGAATTATGATCCGATACAAAGGTTGTGAAATAATTTGGCTTTATTTAACTTTTAGTGAGCGCGTGGCGAACTCATGAGGTTTTGAAGTTTATTTTATGGATGTCACACAAAATATTTTTTAAATACAGAATAACCTAGTATAAAACTCAGCACAATCTCTCATTCTGTGTGTCACTGAAGTTACTCCTGCAAAAACAAGTTAAGTTAGAGGTAAACTCCCTGATTTTACACTAGAAAGTAGAGATTTAAAAAGATTCTTAGATTTTTTTATTTTGATATACTTTATTAATCCCCATGGGGAAATTGTTTCTCTGCATTTGACCCATCCTAGTGTTAGGAGCAGTGTGCTGCCATTTTGAACGGCGCCCGGGGAGCAGTGTAGGGAACGGTGCCTTGCTCAGGGACACCTCGGTAGCACTTGGTCTTGCCGGGACTTGAACTGGTGACCTTCCAGTTGCCAAGCTGGAAGGTCACCAGGATGGTGGAGTAACACCTATCGACTTCGCCACCACCACCACCACGTGTTATTTATAGCCATATATTTTTGGAACATCATTTCCTAATCTCAAACTCCTGTTGACTCTAGTTTGAGCCCATTAAAATAATAGGATCAATTCATTGTTGGTTGGGGTCTTTTTTTGGAAGGTGTTGATGTTAAAAACATGCATACACCTTTTTATGAATAGTAAAAAGGTGTGAGCAGTGTGTGTTTGAATCAGGTGTCTCTAACTCTGGTCTCCCGCAGCCTGGAGCTCTGCCAGAAACCGCTCAGGACAGCCCGCTGAAGAGACAACAGGTAAGTGGAGCCTTTCCTAAAACATACACAGATAACCCAGACAGGGTGTTCTGTGCTTTGGAAACTGAGAGACCGTCAGCTCTATTTAAAAGAAAAATGGAACAAAGTTTGCACCAACACTGTAAGAGTAATAGTTTGCCATGAACTCTGGAAATGCATAAAAGTCAAGAGACAGTTCTCTTTTTTCTTGTTTTTAGTATATTGCTTTGGAGTTTTAAAAATACAAAAGGCCTGTCCTAATGTGCACAATGTAGTGACTGCTTTTTTGTCTTTTGTTTTCTTAGTTATGTTCTCTGTATTTTATATGTTTGTGTTATGTGTTATGTGTAACGTTGCTGCCTTCTTGGCCAGGTCAGCATTGCAAATGAGATTCTATCTCAATGCTTTTATCTGGTTAAATAAAAAAATGTATAAAAAAAGTTTAACTGTACAATATTCAGACTTAGATATTACATTTTAGTGCCATAATCAAAAAGAAGATTCTATCTGAAAGCACCATTTTGAGAAGATGTGAATAGTTCAGCAGAGATAAATCCATTGTAGAAAAGCCAAAGAAACAAATATGTCCATTGACAGCACTTTCTACAGTGGAATGATGATGTTTTACATTTACTTTACATGCAACGCTTGTAAACACTGAAAGTCCTCACTAGTGGATAATAACATTGGATGTTTCTTGAATGAGCCAGATAATAATTCACTTATTTGATCATTGTGTTATTACCTTCTTTCTTTAGCCGCCAACCGAGAAGGAGGACAACCGCATGAAGAACGTTCCCGTCCCGGTGTACTGCCGTCCTCTCGTAGAGAAAGACCCCAACAGGAAGGTGAGCAGTTCAGAGGATTAACATTTTATGGGATATGATGAACAACAGTAACTCTAATCAAAAATGTATCGGCATGTTCAATCTTCTCTGGGCACTGACACTTTGACGCAGAATCAGGAAAAGTTACCCTCAAAATCTGAGTTTAAAACATATGACTACAAGAGGATTGGTGACACTAAGTCACAATGAGGCTTCATTAGAACCACGCAGCCTTTGCTCCTGAATACAAATAATAAAAATGGCACTGCGCAAGTCATCCAAGGGTCAGGTGGAACTTTATTCAAATATGCGTGTGTGTGTTTGTAGTTGTGGTGTGCAGCAGGTGTGGACCTGACGGGATGGAGGGCCAGCTGCCAGGAGTCGGAGTTAGCCAAAGCTCCGTCGGGGGGCAGCGACCCTCTGCATGCTGAGGAGAACGGAGGAGGCAGGAAGAGCAGCCACACCTCCCCAGAGAAGAGGATGGTAGAGTAACACCTGTCATATTACTTGAGTAAAGTCAAAGCTGGTATTGTACACTCATTATGAAATGAGTCATACATGTGGAAGAATCATATTAACAGCCTGCATGGAGTTGAAACTATCTAGGACATGAACATCTGTCCTTTTTCAGTTTTTGTGATTGTGGTAAACCCTGTTCTCTTCTCCCTCCCCTCCCCAGTCGAAGGAGCTGCAGGAGACGGACACCATGAGCAGCAGAGTGTGGATCCTCACCAGCACCCACTCTGCCAGTAAGGTGGTCATCATCGACGCCAACCAGCCCGGCTCGCTGGTCGATCAGTTCAACGTCTGCAACGCCCATGTGCTCTGCATCTCCAGCGTGCCAGGTGAGGCGGAGAGCTGGTGTTAGGGAGAGGCGCTACAGGGACATTTGCTGAAATGTGGGCTATCTTGCTTACATAACATGTTTTCTTTTTGAATAATGCAAAGAAAGCATGCACCATTTCACTGCACTTAACTATTTGTAGATTTTACATAGGTTCACCAAAAGGTAGCAAGGTAGGTACATTTTCATCTGGGTGATATTGGTCAACATTTGAAAAAAAAACCTTATAGTTGCAATTTTATACATCTGGAATGTTAAACAGTGAGGCCTTTTGTATTTTTAATTGAGTTGTTACTGAAATGTTCTCTTTTTTTAGAGTCTGAAAAATGCAAACAGACATCTCTTATTTACTGCTAGTCATCAGATTGTGAATCAACATGTGTGTGAGTGCAGTTGTCATCGGATTTGTATCATTGATTCAGAAAAGTGTATTTACCTGCGCCTTATTTTTCTGCCGAAGAATACTCCTGAATATGTACTGCAAATACTTTGTTGTTGTGTTTACAGAGAGAAAGTGTGTGTTAATGTGTGTGTTTGTTGTGTCCAGCTGCCAGTGAGAACGACTACCCCCCCGGAGAGATCGTGTTGGACCCCGGTGACGGGGGGGTCGGGGGGGCGGGCGATGACTCGGGCGGCGTGGAGGGCATGCTGGCCGGCATCACGCTGGTCGGCTGCGCCACCAACTGCAGCGTTGCCCGTAGCAACTGCTCCTCACGCACTGACACGCCCATCATGGACAAAGGACAAGGTGGGCTCAAAGCTCCTGCACGTTATCATCATCACAGAGAGGTGTTAAGACCACTGGTTTGTGTATTATTCATACTAGGGCTGCACAGTTTTTTACATTATCGTAATGTGCAATATCCAAATCGCAGTAAACGCAATATTTGTTAATAGCTGTATATTTGAGAATATCTGAGCTTATAAAAAAATCCTTGTTTGGTACAGATCCTTATTTTTATATCTATTTTTTTTATTATTATGTGAATAATGTTCCCAGAAATTAGATTTCCTCAAATACCAAACTCTCAAATGGCTTTTCCCGGGAAAACAAAATACTACTCCTCTTATCAAAAGATTTAAAGAACGCCTGAGAGATCATTTATCTACTGTTTCGTAACTGTTTTTTCCGTATATACACACTCGTAAACTTGTCATATTTCCATTTTTCTTTTTTTTAAATGTCTGTTATTTTAGTATTTGTTTGCCATCATTATTGAATTGTATATTGGTCTTGTGTTTTCTATAAAATTCAAAATTTTAACAATAAGCCCAGTGGGTTTTCTGCCTCTTCCTGCACTGATTATCATTCGTTATCTGTTATGTTTTGTGTATTTTTTAATTGTGCAAAACAATAAAATACAAATATATAACGCAAGTAGTATCACAATAGCAATATTAGTACAAATATTAACAATTAGTAATTTGTTCTAAACTGCGCTGCTCTAATTTCAACAATCTTGTGTTTCCCCAGCCCCCACCGCCCCCCCCATGAATGGTAAGATCCACCCCGCCCAGTCGGCTGAGGAGGCGACGGAGGCCACCGAGGTCCCCGAGTCCACGGCGAGCCACGGAGAGCTGAGGTCGGGACCCCCGGGACCCTTCACTGAGCACGTCTTCACCGACCCCCCGCCCCGCCTCTCAGACGCCTCGGACAGGTGGGAGCCAGAGCCTGGGACTCAGGAGGGTCCGGGGTCCGATCCCTGACCTCTGAGTCAACATGTTGAAGTTTGGTTAAGATGCTGAACCCCACATTGCTACAGATTGCATGGCTAATGGTTGGTGTGAATGTTAGTCACTCCTGTTATGTGTGTGAATGGGTGAATTGACATATTGTTAAAGCGCCTTTGAGTGGTTGCAAAAACTAGAAAAAAGTTATTTACAAATGCATTTAATTTACCATAACATAAAGACAACCATCAGGAATGTCATAAACAAATGTTTATAGCGTGAAACATAAAACCCTATAACCTTTCCAACATTGGCTCTGCTGGGAGTGATACTACCCAAAGAGCAAAACAAATATATTTTACTTACCACCAGCATTAAAACATTATATTTATAATTTGTAGTTATGTTCAACTCAATGTAAATTATTAATTACACAATTACAGAAGTGAAATGGTGATTGGGGACGCTTCGAAAACAGTTTGAATGAAGTAAAAAATGTAGTACTGCAGTTGTTACAGTAGGGAATAATTTGCTTAGGTATTCAACCTTAGACACAGTTCATCATTTTCTCCTCTCACTGTCTCCTTTCCCGTGGCATAGGTCTACGGCCTTGGGTATTGCTGCTATCTCTTAAGGAGGGGCAGCTTGGGCGCATTGTTGTTGCCAGTCTATGACAGAGCACAAGCCGCCATGAGGTAGCTTACTGTTCAGGGACGTAGTTTCCCTGGCGCATATACTTTCCTATGGACGAGAGCTCTAGTTAGATTCAGGGTCCATAATGTTTAGTGTCACTGATGAAGAATGTTGATTATTACACTCCGAACTAGTTAAAACCTTGAGCTGCAGAAAGAGTTCTTCAGAATTGGTTTGGCAACCGCTGTGTCATCTCGTGACACACCACCTGTCTTGTCAACTCTCCGGCCGTAACTCCAAATAAACCATCAGTGTTTGACATCAAAGCTCCAGCTCTCCTCGTGCCTCTCTGAGTCCTGTTTCCAATTGCTTCAGAAGTTTCCCCCACAGTTGTTTTTCATTTTGAAACATAAGTTTGTATTTCGTGTTTTCCCACAGGAGCTCAGGTCAATCCAAAGAGGAATCTTCCCAGCCTTCAGAGTCTGAAGACGGGGGTGAAGACACCAGGAACTACGCCAGCGTGGCTCCCACCATGTGGCTCGGGGCCCAGAACGGCTGGTAAGTCGCTCCGCAGAAGTACTCCTAACTTCTGCTGAAGCCACACAAAAATAACACATATCCAAAAAGGTAGACGCTGGATAGGAAGATTCTTTCTGGTTCTTTCCCCAAAAGAACCAGAAAGAGTGCTTGTATCTTCCATCCTTTATACATACTCTTGTCTCTTGAACTCTGTATGCAGTTTGGTTTTGCTCTGCAGTATCTTGCCTCTGTTCTCCTTCAAGGCTCTACGTCCACTCAGCGGTTGGAAACTGGAAGAAGTGCCTTCACTCCATCAAACTCAAAGACTCTGTGCTCAGCCTGGTGTAAGTGCTCGTTGTTAAACTCTGTTATTGTTTGCATAATGTTGTGTAGTTCAGAAGTCTTTCTGGGATGTTCTGTCACTGCAGCAGTCTCATCTCTTTTCTAATTGCAGACATGTGAAAGGTCGTGTGCTGGTCGCCCTCGCTGACGGGACCCTCGCCATATTCCACAGATCAGAGGGTATTTCGGTTTCTAAATATATTTTTTAAAGCAGAGTACATACACACTGAAGTTTTAGGAGGTTTTATGGAACAAGAAAAATACAAATCAGAATGAAAAATCCCGAAGTCAGGTATCACATGGATTTACAGGAACACAGAGTAGAGCTGAAACCTTAATCAAGTAATTGCAAGCGATTTTATACGTAGATTTTATAGACCAAACAAGGTCGTAACAAATCGAGAAAATAAAAGTTAGTTGCCGCACTAAAAACAGGTGTAGGTCAACTTCAATGTTTGTACAGTATAACATTCAAAAGCTTCTATCAAGGCTTTATCACAGTCCTGATGATAAAACACTAACTGTGAAAAATGCTTTCAGTAAGTCCCGGACAAATGTAAGAAGAAAGTGATAGATTAGTTGTTAATGTACGTTTGGTTTTGTCCCCAGATGGCCAGTGGGATCTGTCGAACTACCACCTGATGGACCTGGGTCGGCCTCATCACTCCATCCGCTGCATGGCTGTGGTCCACGATAAGGTTTGGTGCGGATACAAGAACAAGATCCACGTCATCCAGCCCAAGAGCATGCAGATCGAGGTGAGTAAGGAATCCACGTGAGGTTATTGTTTGGGGGCAGGTTTCCGAATTTCATAGGTTTACCCGCCAGCTCCTATTAAACTAATGTATTCAAAATAAAGACATTCAGATCATAAAAGACAAAACAATCCTAATTGTAACTAAAATGTTTGATCATACAGCAATCAGGCTACATCATAAAATCATTGAATGCATGCATTTAACATATGAGACTTTCAATCAAAAGCTGGCTTCATTTTTGTAGTTTTTACTCTCAACCATATTTGAGCCATTTTCTCCTGTGATGGTACGCGCTATTTTCATGGTTTTTACTAGAGATATTACTGCTGTATCATGTATGTCACAGATGTTCAACACTAGTTTATATTGTGCAGGAAATCATTTAATAATTGTTCTGGGGGGGTCATAAAGAAGTATTAGTGGTCTAAACTGAAATTCAAAGGGTTGAAAGGACTCACTATTCTTGTTAATGATCACGAAGGAGGTAAAATAACATAAATATCATTCTATGGAACATCAGAGCATATTACAAGTGCTGCACAATGGTTAAGTATAATAATACTGTGTTATTGAATTGATCCACTCCTCTTCCTCACTCTGTAGAAGTCCTTCGACGCCCACCCTCGCAGGGAGAGTCAGGTGCGGCAGCTGGCCTGGATCGGAGACGGTGTTTGGGTCTCGATCCGCCTCGACTCCACGCTGCGTCTCTACCACGCACACACACACCAACACCTGCAGGACGTGGACATCGAGCCGTACGTCAGCAAGATGCTGGGTGAGATTATGATGGCAGTCTTTTCTGATAAATGTGAATTATTCTGGGGTTATTTTCTCACTGACAGGCAGCATTTGTTCTCCACTGACTCTGGTTTTGATTCACAGGTACTGGCAAACTGGGCTTCTCTTTTGTCCGCATCACGGCACTTCTGATTGGTGGAAATCGTCTCTGGGTAGGAACTGGAAACGGCGTGATCATCTCCATCCCACTGACGGAGAGTGAGTTTTCATTTTTTCAGTTTACAACACGGGACTCAAACCATCTGTCATCAGCTTTGATTTCATTTAAAGTCCTAACAGTGAGAGCAGTGCCTGTCTAACGACTAAAAAGGACACATGGTCATCTTTATTCTGTCAGCAAAACCTGCAACATCTCAATCCCTATTTTAAAAAGTTCTTTAGGGAGTGATCAGCAGTAACTCAAATCCTCTTTAAATCGTAATCTTTCGTTGCTCTTAAAAGTCTTTGGGGCGTAAGTTACTTCTGCTAAGGAGGAACATGTTTAGATGTGTTAGTCTGTCTGGATGTTACTTAGCAGAATATCTCAAATACTTTTTTTGTTTTTAAAAAGACTGGGGAGAAATCTGAATCCACCATGTTGTCACTTTACATTTCAGCTTCAATACTCCAAACATGATTTCTTCCGAACTTTTTTTCTAGATTCCTTAGTTTGAGACAAATAGGCCATGACTTTGCACATTTCTTTGCTATTTAGAAATGTTTTGATTATCTTAAATTCAGCTAATGGAGAGACTCAAACCCAAACAGAGGGTCTTATTCCTCACAGATCTATTCTCTTCTTTAGCATACTCCCCCTGCCTCTTGATCTCCCTCTTTACACCTTCTTTTTCCTGCCTCCCCTCGAGGGTTCCCCCTCGTTCACAAACAAACTTTGGTCATAACTATTACTACTGTCCTCTTTCTCCTCCTCCTCCTCCTCCTTCCTCCCCCCTCCTCCTCTTCCTCCGCCTCCTGTAGCGGTGGTCCTTCACCGGGGACAGCTCCTTGGTTTGAGGGGTAAGTGGGAGCGCTCCCCCCCCCCCTGCTGTTATCATCTACCTTCTCTTGCCCAGTCAAACCCTCATGCCCCCTGAAACATTGAGACGTGTGCAGACCATGGCTTCCTGTGTCTTTATGCCATATTTAAGGGAGGATGTTTAAAGTGGGGTTGCATGAGGTGACTCTCTATAATCAGTGTGTTGCTGCAGTAGATGACGAAGGTTAAGCAATGTACTGCTGTAGACTTGGTATCAGCAAACCCTGACCATTAAATGGACATAAAATGTAAATCTGCCTTTGCCACAAGCATATAAGAAAGCACAACATACAGTTAACACACAATACACAACAATGATGCACCTTAAAGTCTAAACGTTACTCAGTCATAAAACGGACTAAGTGGATTGTTCTTCATGTACGTAGGCCATTATCCCCACAGAATATGATACTCAGTCATATTAACAATAAAGAGAAATATATATTATGGTGTGTGTGTGTGTGTGTGTGTGTGTGTGTGTGTGTGTGTGTGTGTGTGTGTGTGTGTGTGTGTGTGTGTGTGTGTGTGTGTGTGTGGTGTGTGTGTGTGTGTGTGTGTGTGTGTGTGTGGTGTGTGTGTGTGTGTGTGTGTGTGTGTGTGTGTGTGTGTGTGTGTGTGTGTGTGTGTGTGTGTGTGTGTGTGTGTGTGTGTGTGTTTGCTGCCGCGCCCGTCCACAGCAGTGGCTTTGCATCCACTGGAACTCCTGTTTCCCCAAAAGGCGAAAACCTCATAAAACCCAACTTCAAACAATCCAAACTCCCTTTTAGAATGTGAACAAAACCAATATTGAACACTTAATTGATTCTCTTTTATCTATAAAGGTTGAAATTGTGTGCAATGGTTTTACTTTTTACTGTCAACCAAGACGGTGCTTCTGCTCATTGGTTGCTTTGCATGTTAGTTATCATTGAGCTTCACTGCCTCAATGACTGAAGTGTGACGATCCACTGCATGTACGGGATGTGTTTCAGCCGTCTAAAATCATTTCTCATTTTCAGTTGCTCTATGGAAACATGTGGATATTGTGGGTGTTTTGTTTTCTTATTTCGCCTGTGTCATGCTACCACTTATGATTTGCTGGTAATTCTTCAGAGTTGGTTAGTTCCTCACCCCTGGGTTCTTCCTCCCTCAGCCAATAAGGTGTCTCCTACGTCGTCCAGCGGGGTGATCCATGTGTACGGAGACGACGGCTCTGAGAAAAGCTCCGGCAGCTTCATCCCGTACTGCTCCATGGCTCAAGCCCAGCTGTGTTTCCATGGACACCGCGATGCTGTCAAGTTCTTCGTCTCTGTGCCCGGTAAGCACAAAGCCAGACTGTAGCACTTGCATGTCTATAGCTGAATACATTCCGTTTTTTTGAACCTGTTTTTGTTCCTCCAGGTAATGTCCTGGCCACGCTGAACGGCAGCGTGCTGGACAGCCCGTCGGAGGGTCAGGGGTCAACAGCGCCCGCAGAGACGGAGACTCAGAGCGTTCACAACGTGCTGGTGCTGAGCGGAGGAGAGGGATACATCGACTTCCGCATAGGTGAGCAATCATGATGAACATGATCCTCACGACACACACACTCTTACACTACACTTACACAAACACCCTCAGTGAAACTTTAGGATGCAGCAAACCACTGAGCTCTGACAAAAAAGTATAAAAAAAGACCTGAAAGGGATCGTGTACTTCCAATATGGTAACTTTAATAATAGTAATAAGACCTATGTTATACATATATATTTAGTTGTGTAGTTATACCATTTGTTTGCATCGATGATTTTAGTCAAGGTTGCAGTATGTTTTATGTGGTAGACTTAAATGGCGTCTTAATAAGAGGGCATCTGCCACTCATAAATGTACTTTTTAAATAATGTATTTATATTTGTTATTATAATTCTCGACAGCATCAACTACTGCGTGATTAAACATTGTGATAAAAGCCCAATTGTATTTACAAATGTCCTTTTTTTTAGGTTACTCCTTCTGAAAATGAAACACTTCTTTAACATATTGTCAACACAATAATGTTTACTGTTGTTATTGTGAAATGAGATCTCTAAAGTATTCTGTTTATGTTTTCCCTCAGGTGACGGGGAGGACGATGAGACGGAGGAAGGAGACGCTGCTGTTGCCGTGGCTACTGGAGCCTCGCAGGTCAAACCGGCTCTGTGTAAAGCTGAGCGCAGCCACATCATCGTGTGGCAGGTGTCCTACATCCCTGAGTGACACACACACACACACACACACACACACACACACACACACACACACACACACACACACACACACACACACACACACACACACACACACACACACACTCTCCTCCTTAAAGAAACCTCCTCCTGCCCCCTAAAGCTTCCAGCCACCCTTGTAATTATCCCATGTCATGTAAAAGTCCCCCTTTGGCTCTAAAACGACCCTCCAAGCCGTGTATTGTAACTATTATCTCCCCTCCTGCCCCGTTCACCTTGTAACTTTAATGCCTTGTAAGTACCTCCTCTGATCTAGTAATCTGCCTGTTTCTACCCCCCCCCCCCCGGGCATTGTTACTATCTTCATGAGCCTTGTAACCCAGCCTCATAACTACCTCCCTTATATTCACCCTGTGAGCACACTGTATCTCCTCCTATATTGACCTCAATTGTCCTGCATCTGCCCCAAAAGTTACTCCCCCTCCTCTTCTTCCTCCACTTAGTTTCTCATATGTAAAGCCTCCACCTCGTCTTAAAGCAAAAGCCCAGAGCCCCCAAAATGTATCAATTGTACCAAAAGAAAAACAGCAGGCACAGAAATGTGAATTTGTGTGGTTTTAATAAAGCCAAGTATCAATTAGTGATAATCCACATTTTTAGATGGATGCAGTTGTCGGGTTTTTAAGGATTGACACTCTTTGTCAAATTGAAATCCAATGAGGCAGCAAACAGAAGTGTTATTTCGGCTTCAAGATTGTAGTGGATGTCCAAAGAGTTTCATATTTTATGACGAAATTGAAACTAATAGGAAGTCGAAATTACAACTTTATTGTCTGGGCTTTTTTGGCTGCTACCCTAAAATATTTTGCATCCAATCACGTCTATTTAGAGTCTTGATTAAAGAAGACGCTTGCTCGTTTTATACCCTGATAAAAATGTAAAAAAAACCCATGAGGATATAAATGATTATTTTGCGAGGAAATATCTGGTGCCTGATGTAAATTAAAGAGTTGTAGTTAAGCCAGGGGAAGGGGCGGTGCTTAATGTGTGGAGGGTCTCTCATCTGACTGGCTGTTGATCAGGCGGTTCGTTGTAAAGCAGGTGAACAGTGATGTCCTCATTACGCGTTCAGGGATCATTGTAAAAGACATTCTGAAGCCCATCCTCTTTGTTCAGTATGGAAATTCATGCATTGATCTCCATTTGTGTGGATTAAATATTAAACATATGTGTGCTGAAAAAGACGTATGAGTGATGTGTGTTTACTTTTCAAACACTGAAACAAAAACTGGCCACACATTTTTAAAACGAGTTTCTTTCTTTATTGTTGATTATTACAAACCCATACAGCATTATGGGATTTTAAAAAAGCAGCTTTTGGAGAACTTTATCAAAACAAATGTTCTTTTATTTGGAAACTTAGCCTGATATACTATTACATATATTACAAAAATAAAGCTCCTCTCCAGCTGTTCAGCATCTTATTTTGAAACTTGTAACATTCAAGTAGTCCCACCCCTAGAGAGCCTGAATTACAAAAGTACAATACAATTCCTGTGTGAAGGAAGGCATTCATTGTGTAGGCTCATTCCTCCCATGGGGTTGGGATTTTTATTGCAAGAACCATTACCAGAGAGCCGTGAATAAGAAACAATTCTGCTGATTTGAACAACGATAAAATACTTTGCACATCACCTGTATACTCACGTATAAAGTTTCCTGTATTTTCTAAATAAATTAACCTTTAATGTTGATTAAAATGCAGCCATTTACCCTGATGCGTTGCCCATAATGAACATTTATGAATCGAGACATTTTATTGCTCCACATTCATAGCTTATTGCTTAAGAAACTTAAACACGAGTTTGTGTTCTGGACAAAACAAAGAAAACTGTAACGAAAGCAGACAAAGAATGATTGCACACTTGATTGCTTTTACCTTAGAAATATAGTCAAGATAGATATCAAATGAATGTTAACCCTTAGATGCATAAGTGGGTCTTTTTGGACCCGGTGAGCTGGTTTTCTTGAAGTATCTTTGTAATTACATTTTTGTATCGTTTCATATTCCAGCTATTCCTCAAAAAACATGTTTTGGATATCGTGCCATTCACATTCTAAATTTACATTTTAAGAAATTGTAGTTTTTGTATTTCTACCCCAAGCTTCCATAAGTGGGTCAAAAATGACCCGCATGCATTTCCTATGGAATCCTCTGGGAACCTTTGATTCTTATCACCTGTTGTTGTCAGGAATACATTCACTGTGGACCACACAGACTACATCACAAGTGACACCTCTCAGGAAGGTTATTTTACACAGCAAGATCTGATACCTGTCAGTGTAATAATAATACATTATATTTGTATAGGGCTTTTCAAGGACTCAAAATCGCTTTACAATATAAGGGAAGGTTAGGGTGGGGGGTATAGGACTATCAAACTTGATCAACCGGCATGGATTGATGGGGGGTGGGCTATGAGTAGACAAGAGGAGAAGAGATGAGTTTTGAAAAGGGACTGGAATGCTGTGAGGGTCTCAGAATAGCGGAGATCTTTGCATCAATATGTTCAAAAAGGTTTTTTTCAAAATGTAAAAAAAATTTCTAAAATTATAAATACTACAAAATTAAATATAAAATATTTCTAGTGTGAACCAAAATATAATACTAAATATTATAAAAGTGATTTTTCTTAACCAAAATGGCATAAAAACATATATTATTCTAATACGGGTCTTTTTTGACCCACTTATGGAAGAGTGTAGGGTCCAGTCACTCGTGCATCTAAGGGTTAATAAAAAGATCCATCCATGACACCTCGTCTCCCTTGGGTCTACAAGCTACTAAAGCCAAATAAGATTGATCTGAGGTACGATGGGATCTTGCATAAAGCTTTGTGTCCCCAGCAGGACGGTTTCAGTAGATCCAGCGGCTGCTGCTGTCCTCCCAGCAGTGCAGCTCGTTGTGTCGGAACCACAGAGAGATTTCCCTCTGAGCGCTCAGCACCGAGTCGCTGCCGTGGATCACGTTCCTGCAGAGCAGAGAGGAAACAGAAACAGGTTCAGGACATGTGTGATATACACAGTGATACATGTTAAGGCCTAACACGTTTATAATAAATACAATTGTAATTTTTTTACTGTTCAGAAAGCCTGCATAAAACAAAATAAGAGCACGGTGCAAAGTATCTAGATGCGCCAATAGAGTGGTGCAGGGATGACGTATATCTGTAGGCCGACCCGGAAGTAAGCTGCGCATGGGTTCCCTCGACAAAAAAGCAATGGGATTTCTCCATAGGATGGAATATTGTAAAAAATAAGATCTGTGGAAAACGAACCTGTTTAATAAGATAAACGTTTTGTTCAGCCGGATAATCTCCACATGTCTCCTACTTTTATAATTTTCTAATCATAAATCTAATCGCCAGAAGCAAAATGCTAACATTATGCTATAAACGAACAACAGCAGGGTCGCACGACTTCCACGTCACGCCAACTTAAGATCGATATTCAAAAATACAGATTCAAAATTGTACAAGTTGAAGCGTTTGTTTTAACAGTTTGCAAGAGCGCAGGTTCGGCGTAATGACGTATCTGTAGTCAACTTCTGTAGTCCTATTCAGCCACTTGTTAACAACCATCGTTTTTCAGACACGTAAACTCTTCAGAAATCACCAGTGGGGTCACAGCTGGTGTATTTAATGTCGTAGAACAAAACGTGATCCGGCTCTTACATTTGTGTCCACCACAGACCTTATTTCTAGCTATTTTAAAATGATAAAATGCTAACTCACTTCCGGGTTTTAGGACTCGTTCCTGTTCCTATGGGCACCACTCTATAGTAGTCCGCTGTACAGAAAACTGTATTTTCCTCACGGCAGACACACATTAATAACACCCACTGGTGCATCATAAATATGTCGGATAGTGTAAGTGCAGTTGGATTCTCTTGATGCCCGGTCGTCTTTTCCTAAGTCCTTTTGAATTCTCCTAACCACCATTCTTTAACCCTGTGATGTTTCACACAGAGGTCAAGGATTAGTAGTTAGGAAAAGACGATGGAGGAGCTGGTTTTTGGACAATTTGACAGCATCCCTGTTCTTCTTACCGTCCCACTTCCACGCAGTAATCTCCTCGGATGGTTCCAGGCAGAGAGTCAGCGGGGTTGGTCTCTCCCAGCATCTTACGTGCCGTCTTGACCACGTCCAAACCCTCCCACACCTGAACACACACGGAAATGTACGTGACAACATGCTGAATAAAATCACACTCATGTATGGAGACGGATGAGACAAACACTGAAACACAAACACTACTATTTTGCAAATACAAATAACTCAAAGGAGCTTTATTTTCTAAATGACTTATTATGCAAGTTTGAAGCCAAATCAAAAGCCTTCTGTAAGCCTTTAGTGTTGTGTGTAAATTAGGTGTACAGTATGGGGGGAATCTCACCATGGCTACGATTGGTCCAGAGTTCATGTAGCTCACCAGCTCTGTGAAGAACGGTTTGCTCCTCAGGTCCCAGTAGTGTTCCTTCAGGAGGTCCTCTGACGCCTGACACACAAAACAGACACATGATCAAATAAAACATAAAAACGATCCTTCATTTATTTCATTAGCCTCCTTGATGTTTGTTGTTTTTACATTATCATTCATGTTTGTTGATTTATGAAGCCCTCAGAGACAAATGTGTTTTGTGATATTGGGCTATATAAACACATTTGAATTGAATAATGTTTTAAAGTGAGTATGGAAAGGCTTTTGATACCTGCACTAGTTTCAGGGCCACCAGTTTGAACCCTTTCTTCTCAAAGCGGTGTGTGATTTCCCCCACCAGTTTCCGCTGCACGCCATCTGGCTTCACGGCGATGAAGGTGCGCTCGCTCACACCGGTCAAGGCTGGAACCAGAGATAAAGTGCGGCAAAGGTTTGATGAAAGCAAACCAGTGAACGACAACGTCCACCACACACAACCTGGAGAAGCTGGCATGCACCTCGGTAAGAATGTAACATTATGGAACAGCATTTAATAGTGGATTATAATTTGAAGATTGTATTTTATCCATCAGAAAAGGCACTAAAATCGAATGGAAAGAGGCGAGTCCTACTCTCCTGGTGTAGTTATACAATTCTGCATTGATTTGGAGTCATAAGCTCATGATATGGAAGCTATTGAAATACATTTTTGAGTTTTTTAGAAGTGTGTTGTCCAGTGTAGTTCAATGCTGCATTGATTTGGAGCGACTGGGTCAAATGAAATGAAGAACTTTCATTAAATAGAAATGTAGATTTTTCATTAGTTAAGAACAATTTTCATTCAAATATTCACATAAAAACAGGATGCGGATTAAAACCAAATATTAGGATTTGTCTTTTGTACTTTCAATTGTACTGGCTTCCATGTACATGACATGGAAGCTTATTTAACTGTGATTGAAATATGTTCATGACTCATCAGCGAACAAAAAATATGAGCCAAAAAGACACATAATTATACTTTATGCATAATATTCATTAACATTGGGAAATTAGCACAGAGGTACTGGTTTTGTGTAATTCAAAAATAACTCTATTGATGCTTCCCAAGTGAAACCCTGATGGGGGGTGAGGATTTGAACTAGCCGTCCTCTGTCGAAAAATGTCTGGCTGATATCCAATCTGAAACTAACTTTAGAGTGCAGACATTAGTGTCTAATCCACTTCAAGACAGTCAGTGTTACACTCATAGACTGTATATATAACGGTTACACAGCATATGTTTAGCTGCAGACAGACTCTGGATACACACATCCTCCCATGCAGCAGTGCACACACATGTTAGAAGTAAAAACAACTAATATAATAACTACATATGTGTCTTCACAAATGTCATGTCATTTTAGATCAAGTCTTCCCTAGCAGTCACTGTTAGTCACACAACAAGCAGTGTATTTACCCTGCATTTTGACAGTTTCTGCAGAAAACCCCTCAATCTCATCATTTTAACCTGTAATGCGTCTCACCAGATTCTTTAATCCGTGCATGTTTAACCACCAAATCCTCCAGTTCATGCAGATCTCTCTTTGACCTTTTCCTCGGCCCCATGGCAGTGCAGCAGCCCGTCAGCAGCGCACTGTCACCGGGGATAATTATAGGATCAGGAACTCTACAGGAGTCACATGGACCACTATCGGTATGAGTCAAAAGTAGCCACGACTCACGAGTGAAGCTAAAGTAGCTAACAGTAGCTCACACTGTTAATAGTTAAACTCCAAAGCCCAGCCTTACTCTTTAATTTTAACACAGTTAGTTACAAAATCAAAGTTAGTGAAGGTTTCATGACTTGTTTCACCAGTAAGCGTGTAGCTAGCCGTCTGTCCGGGGAGTTAGCATCTCCTGCAGAGTGGAAACTGTGAGCAACTGTGGAAGTTAAACTGAATGACAATGAATAAAACATAAACAAATAAACAGATATATCACCAACCTGTCTGGAGGAAGTAGGAGAATATGGACAGAAACAGGCAGATCATTGTAGAAGCTGGACGGAGAGTTTCTCTGAAGAAGGAAGGCAGGAGGACAGAGCGCGGGCACGTAGCTGCTCAAAGCGCAGGCACGTGTCTCACGAGTAGCGAAACATGCAAATCTGTCCATTGCGCGACAATTAAGGAAATAATACAATATGTTTTCTAGTCTAAAAGTTACTATTGTTTTTTTTATATTTCATGACACGCTATACTATTACTTTTTATGAGAAATGTATTATGAATACATGGATTTTCATGACAATATTTTAACTTTGTCAAATATTATGTCATACCATGCTCTGACTTTTAATGACATTTTTAATGAAACGTCTATAAAACATTATATCCTATGACTTTTTGTCATAATTTGCTATGACACCACCGCCACTGCCACTATTGTTGTAAGGTGAGGCTCAGGGTAGCAGGGAAAGTTTGCTGGAAAAAAAGGCAATACAAGTTATCCAGTTATTATATCTTAGCATATTATTATTTAACTCACTTATTAATTGAGATTTGATCTCATAATTTGACTGAAATCCCCCTAATCAAGTACTCTAGGAGTCGAGGTAGTCTACCATGCAGGAACAAATACATCAAACAACACTTTTCCATCTTATCTTTAATAATTAATATGTTTCACATTACACAGTTACATTACACACAGAGAGCCTGCTTCAGATGTAGATAGAGAACTTCTTTGAGTCCAGGATTCATCAGAACAGAAGTTATGACTTCTTTCAAATCTGATTGGTCCATAATGTCCAAGATTTTCATCTTTAGAAACCACGAGCATCACACCGGTGTTCCCTCTTTCCTCTGCGCTGCTTTTTCCTGTTCGCGGAAATAGTCTTTGTTGAGCAGGACGTCCCTCCGTGAGGGCAGGGCCGGCTCCTCGGTGACAGCGCTGCCGTGTGCCTTCTTGAACTGAGCCAGCATCATGGCGCGCAGCAGCGGAGGATACGGGACGTAACGCACCGGGGGCTCAGGCAGCGGCTCGAACTCCTTAAACTGCTGCTCCATATGTTTGGGAATCAGGCGCCAGTCGTGGTATAACGCCTTGTCCACCTCCTTGGCCTCGCTCTCCTGTTTCCCTGCCGAGCACAAAATACAACACATTTACTACATGCCGTTTGGTAAGACAATAATAAGCGTTTACCGTTACATATACAATTATTTGTATCATTAATACTGATATACTTTAAAGATGGCGCCATAAGAATGCACCATGGAAATGGGTAGTCAAGCCGGAAAAGTCATTTTCTACTTTTCAGAAATTATTCAAAAATAAAAGTTTAGATTTAAAACAAATACAATCAGGGACATAATAAGGATACTAAAAATACTACAGAAATACTGATAAAAAAAAAATGAGGAAAAGCAAAACATTTTTTAACATTCACAAATAAAACGTGAATAAACAAACACAAAATACTGTCGCTGTTTAAAATGGAATACACAGGGTATCATTTTACCTTTGTGGCTGAGGATCCCCCAGGCTTTGCCATGATCCATGTTCTAGGAAGCACACAAATCAGGAGTCATTTTGTTGCAGGTATCCTATCAAACCCCATGTGTGCCCAACACTCAACAGCGGCAGCAGTGCATGAATGTGTCTCCCTCTCACCTCAGCTGTGTAGTCCACCTTGACCTTAGTGATCTGCCAGTAGCTGGGCTCTGGATGTTCCTCCAGCCAGGACTTTCGGGTGAACATTCGGCCCACCCCGAACATCCTCATGCCGGCCAGCAGTGAGAAGAGGCGAGTCTCCCTGCGGACGTCCTGCCAGGCCAGCACCGGCAGCATCTTCCCGGTGTGCGGCCTCTTCAGGGTCTCGTAGTCCAGGCCGTACTTCTGAGACTCCCTGGGTCGGGACTTCAGCTCTCGGTACGCCCGGATCTTCCGAGCCATCTGCGCTATGAGGCGAAGTTCCTTTTTCTTCACCATGACTGCCTGGTGCTCAGCAGCTTCTACAGGAAACCCTCACTGATACCCAGTGTTTATCCTGGAAGAGATTACAGAGAGTTATGTAGCTTTACATCTGAACTATGCACGGGTTAGGGGCCTAAAACGTTCAGTGGTGGAACAAGTACCCAGATTCTTTCCAAGTAAAAATATTAGGGTCTTAAAATAATCCATTGCAAGTAAAAGTCGAGAGTTCAAAATGTTACTTAAGTAAAAGTAAAGTATTATCAGCTAAATGAACTTATGTTTCAAAAGTAAAATTACTCAGTTTGCAGTTTCTTTTGAAAGTGTTATATTATTATAGAATATATATTATCCTATTTTTATAACTAACAAATACACAGTATTTGTAATGTTTTAATTTGTAATTGTAGAACACACTACTACTTTACTACTGTAAAGTAAATGAGTGTATATGTATGTATATCTTATAAACACCTCGTTATTTGTGTAAAATTAAGTGTCAAATAAATGTAATGCCATAAAAAGTACAATATGGAATTACTACTTGGAATTCTAGTAGAGTAGAAGTACAAAGTAGCAGAGAATGGAAATACTCAAGGAAAGTACAAGCACCTTAACATTGTACTGTAATGTACAGCACTTGAGTAAAAGTAGTTACTTTACACCACTGAAAAGGTATGTGGGTCCCAGGGCCAGACTAAGTTTGAAGTCACTGTTACCTTACTGGGAAGTCAACTGTGAGCACAAAAGGATGCATAATGACCAAAGACCCACAACAAATACAAAACTATCTAATAAAAAGTTGTTAAACTACCACGTAGAGATGCAAAATAATCAAAACAAGACAATAAACTACCATAGAGAAACGTAAATGACCAGAGATGCAAAACAACCAGAAAAATGTCTCTTTGAATCTGTGGCTCTTGTTCTAACATTAGGAGCTTTAGGGGCCCATTAACTCTCTTTGCCTGGGGGCCTTTTGGTTTAATTATCCGTCAATGATCTAACAGAAGCAGCTATTTGGTTACAGAAGAAAGTCATTCATGTCAGCCTGGATCATCAGAGAGAATAACATGTCCAGTCCTGATGCTAACTGTCTGTTAGCTAGCGTTAGATGCTAACAACACTTCCTGAAAGCCTTTACTACTCTGACACACACAGACCTATTGTCGAACTATTGATACTGTTTATAATTTGCAAATAATATGGAGTTATAAGTACCTGAATGTCCCTGATGAAAAGGACCAATGCGACTTGACCTCCGCAAGCAAGGTACAAAACTTCCGCTCACTCGGTCCGCCCGCTAAGAGTTCCCCATAAACTGACTGCACGTTTGTTCCGCATGCGGGACATTTTAGTAGAAGACTTTAGACCGGTGCAGATATTTTAGATAACATTTTATAATTTAAAAATATGTACTACAAATGTCTAAATTACACTTAAACCAAAGTTCTACTTGGTTTAAATGCAGTGTCCAAAATATTATTAATACAGTAAATAATAGTTGTACTTTTGGCCTTTGTATTTTTAATCAGATTTAAACTTGATGTGGATTACAAACTGTGGACTTCAAGAAAGTGTCTCCGGGATGCGTTTAACTAATTTAGAAAACGTATTTTACATGGACACTTGGCACTGTTGTGAAAGTGAACCAATACACTTTTTATTTTGACAACACGATACAACAAAGATTGTCATTTGTAATTCTGATGTGTATATCAATCAACTGGTCCAATCCCAGGTCAATTTTCTTACCTTTTTCTACTACACTTGAGTAACAGCAATATTGTCTGTACAATTAAAAGTAAAAAGAAATACAACATTTTTTCGTTGATCATAACACTTTGACATCTAGAAATAAGCATTTCCCAGGTAGATAATAACAACATCCAGTTCTTTGTGCATATTTAGCATTCATTTATTTTCAGCTGAAAATCATGCTGATAAGTTATACAGAAAAAGGCAAGTAAAGGCCTTCACATACAATATAATTAATATGACATGGTATAGAAGACACACGTAGAATTTTACTATTTACAGTACAACAGTAAGAAAAAGTGCTTAGATGTGAAGACCAATACTGTGAAATAAAACAAAAATATACATCTTTTTGATTACAACTAACCTCTTTGTAGTTACATTAGTAGATCTATAAAGTTACATCTGATAAATCCGACAGACTTAAGTGCGTCATCTCATATACTACTCGTGATTAATGACCGTGGTCCTCTGGTACTTTCACTGCTGTTGTTTGTGTCAGAGCCTCCATCATAACATCCTAAAACACAGTCCTTCTGAAAACCATTATCCATAAGAAGCTGGTATTGCATAGTACCTTCATTCTTTGTGTACGTCCACTCAAACCAGGACCTCATCGGACTGATCAATGACAGGTGACTGATGCAGTAGTTGGCAGACTGTAGCTTCAACGCCTCGGTCAAATACTATTGAAATACTTATATTTTGTATGTGTGAGTCCACAAAAGCTACAATGATTATTTACACATTTGACTCAAGGGTAACAATCCCCTTCTCAGTTATTCATGATCTAGAAACACTTTAATTGATCACAACTAACTAACCCCCCGCAGGCTTGAAAGGTGGCTGTAAAATGTTTCACAATCAAAGCATCCAAAGATTGGCTGAAAACCACTCTTTCCGCATAATAAACATCTCTACTGCTCTTTCATGTGATCAATACATTCTAAAAGGGGATAGTAACTGGGACAACATATGTCTCAATCCCACCTTTAGTTGGAATTGTGATTGTCACCAGACAGTGGCCCAATACAGACACTGTTTTTTAATAATCAAAAATATATAATATTGTCAGACACACAAAATAGTCTGGGGAAACGGAACTTTGTCCAGCCACATTTTAGGCCAACAGGGTCTGAGTGTTTCGTACTAAAAGGATTTATAATAGAGTATGACCTTAATTACTTACAGTCAAGAAGAGTTGGTAAAGGACGTGAAGGGACAGGCCAAAAGAACACACTTGCATAAACAGATCAGTACGAAAGAAAAAAAAAACTGCTTATAATCACAGAGTTTTTCAATGAAAGAAACTTACTTTTCAAAAAAGGTCTAAATAACCTATAAGCCGGAGAAAGAGCCATGAGAACCTACCTTAAATGTGCGTATCTTATGAGTGGCATTCTGTCTCATAATCAGATTTAAAGGAGCTACACTTATTATGTATACAGCTTATATCTTTTAGAAAAGAGGAAAAACAACACCTAGCAGGAGACTTACAAAAGCTGGTGACGGATGGATGTTGCCAAAAGTGTAACAAATATTTGAATTGTAACATGAACTAGATCATTAGAAAGAGGAATCATGTGAGTATGGGTTGATTGGAGATGATTGATGCCCCTTGTTGGAGCACTAACAGCTATAAAATACATTCGGGTTCTTGAACCTACATTAAACATTTAAGTTTTTGATCTGTCCTAACATTTTGGACAGTTACCTTTAGAGCTGTAACATGAGGGTAAGAAATAAAAAAATGACCTAAAGTGTGTCTCTCCACTTTGATTTGGCAATCTAACAAAAAACTGCCGATGCCGGTAAAACATGTAACAGATGACTTGGATAATGCATTGAGAACAACACGCATAAATTGCATACATGTGAAAATATACAGTATCTTTTTTTAAACCCTCTTTTTGTGTGCAAATATACCATGATGACCGCCAAAATGTGGCCATACTTGACTTCAGTGTTACACTGTACAGTCGGTTCCTGCTCTCCTCATACATGAATGGCAACAACGTATGCTTGCTAACGAAATAACACCACACCTTTTCACGTATTACTGAAGCTGGTTTGGATAATAACGAGCATGGAGACATCTGAACGGCGTGAAGGAAGATCACAGTAAGATCGTGCGGGCAGAGATACCGCCGTCACAGCTTTCCACCTACGTACCGCTCCGATCCTTTCTTCAGATGTTGAGGAAAGCTGGAGGCAGGCAGGAAACACTCAGCCAGTGTTTAAGGAGGGGTAGGAGTCGAGCCGTCCATCATGTCCAGCGGCATCTCTTCCTCTGACAGGCTTCCAGGTCGGACGTACAGCCCTCCTCCGAGTCACTCTCAGAGGACAGCGGTCCGGGCAGCGGGGGGTCGGGCAATGCAGGCTCTGGCCCATCGGGGGTTTCTTCTGTGCTGCCGTTATTGAGACTGAGCACCCAGCCCAGTTTGTTGTGCAGCAGCTGACGAAGGCCCGGGGGCAGCGGCAACACGTCCAGGGTGTCGATGCAGTCCGGCAGCAGCTGGCGCAGGCGGGCGCAGCAGAGGTAGAGCAGGGAGGTGGGGGCGGAGCACGATCTGATCACCTTCATGCTGCTCTTCGCTGCCGTGGAGCACGCCATCGGATAAAACCTCTTGTTATGTAGCTCCGTGGCAGCAACACCTAGATAGTAAATGGTGACATGATGTTAGTGTGTAAGTTGTAACAATACCACTCTGTGTACATGTAAATAACCAAGTAAATGTGCACACAGGCAGGATACACAGGTCACTCAATTCTGCGGCAGGTACTATGTGTAATTTCTGAATAGTGCTTTCACAAACTTACCATCACTTTATATGCTGTTCCTTCGAAAATACATTTCCTTCTAAAACAATGTTTTGTGTCATATCATTGACTTGTTTAGTAAACAACGAACGAGCCGATTCTTTTGAACGGCTCTTTGGTACGAACGAGGGGAACCGAGTCGTACTTGGTGAGAGCCGTTCTTGTTATCGTTCAATCGTTGGTCCGCACTCACTGCCTGCCAAAATCCACTCGCCTTTTAAAAAGCTTGATTTTGTTCCCCAAACATATTCTGTGAAGACCCGCCCCTACTCTGATTGGTACAATCATTATCCTGGGGATTATTTCGTAGATAAACCTATTAACCCCGCCCCCTTTAAAATAAACGGCTCTTTTGAACGGCTCTTTGAAAGGAACGGAGCCATAAGATCCGGCTCCCTTCAAAGAGCTATAATTCCCATCACTAAAAGTTGCCATGTAATTAGTGAGCTTATATACGTGTGTCAGCATGTCATTATTAGGTCATGGTGATTCAAAAATCCTACATTACCCTCTCATGGTTCAATTAGAAAATGATTACATGCTCGCTGTACAATATATTTGATAAGTTTCATACATATGGTCCTAAGAAAGCTTTGTAAAGCTTAAGAAATCATTTGTTGAGGTTTATATGTGATCATGGATACAGTGATCCGATATGCCAAATCAGTACCATCAATTTTTGAAATGTCATAACAGTTGGTGGTCTGCTATGAGGAAGACCACCCTCTCAGGCTTCAGGCCACAGTATTCTTTGCTTATTCTTACATGAAGACAATGTTGATATTGAGCTATATGGCAGAGCCTGATTGATATATGAGAAGGTATTAGCTTGTTGGAGTTATGGTACAAGGATTTTCAGTACAGGAATGCCAAACTACATTAGGTCATTTAAAAGCTATATTCGTTACTTAGTTTGTCACCAAAGGAACACTGACAAACTCCACCATTCATATAAGGATTGTTTGGTTACGTCATGTGTTGTTACTAACCTATACACTTGCGGTTTTTGAAGAAAGTGAGTGTGCCGTGCCACGTGTCCAGATGGACTCCAATGATGGACCCCTGTCCGAACCGGGAGGAGAAGTTCGTCTTGTCTCCTTTGTGATGCAACAAGCCTGAGCGAGGAAGGAAAACACTGATTTATGCAACAATCCCTGAGAGCAGTGAATGCTACATCACAGCATGTTGTGTTACTCTCACCTGTGTAAGAAAGACCCCAGCTGTCTGTGTCTTTTCCCAGCAGGCTGCAGAACGTGTGTCTGAATTTGTCTAGATTGACATCAGAAGTACCGATGCCAACCATCTGTAAAGACATAAAGAACAATATATAAACCTCAACTTCCACACGCTTTTTTTACTCTTGATGTGGGTTTCTGTAGTGAAACAGCAGGTCAGTGTTAGGAGGTAAAGGCATTGAGGGTTACCATGTCTGTTCCGTACACTGGGGACGTCATTTTGATCTCCCAGAAGTGCTGCCCCTCTGCCAGCTCTTTGGAGCCGCGGATGGCTGCCGTGCCACAGCTGTACTCAGAGTGGAAGTTCACTTTGCGGTTGTCGCAGCTCAGCAATGTTGCTGTAGATCTGCTGCTGGCATCCCAGAACCAGTCAAACTCTGAAACATCAGAAGTCATTCAGTCAAACATGGCTAAAGATACAAGACATTACATATTGTTTACTGTTTTTTTTATCTGTGTCAATTAGCACAAAAAAACATTACTTGTAGAATCTATAGGTGAGAAAATCACAGAACTTAATTAAATATAACATTACACTACAATGGTGTGACTCCAGTGGGGCTTACCGAATGTCATTTTTTAAAAATTCAAAGCTTCTATTTTTTCCAATAAAGTTTTGAATATCTATCTTCATATTTTATGACGTCGTAAATATTCAAAAATTACTTGATTTGAATAAAGAGGTTCATTGGATTAAATTATCATATTATATCAACTTCATTGATTAAGAAATCTTGTTCGTTTTGTCAACATAAATAAAGTGATGACATCTCGATGGAGCGACATACACAAAGCGAATGTCAATGCAAAATGTAATGTTTTTTGATAATATTTATAATTCCTTTACTATAAAAGTGTTAAAGCCAAGAGAGTCTTTTTTGTTGTGGTGACTCGGCAAGTCACAGAGCAAATACTTTCTTGATTTGAATGTGCAGCCCAAAACTCAAGCGACAATCAACCTTATTATAAAAGTGCTCTTGAAGTGCAGCAGGGGTCTTTACCCTGGTCCTCCTCTCCACAGTGGCAGTCTTTAACCTGGTGGAAGCCTCGCAGACGAGGGTTGTAGTTGGTCTCTGCCTGGGAGTCGCAGCCACAGAAGGACTCTCCGGTGACAGGCACTGCGCTGGGGACGGGAGGCACCATCACTGCTGAGAAGTCTGCCTCAGAGTCTGAATCACTGTACTGGGGGGAAGCAATGTAAACAAATACACAACAAAATCATATGCCAGGAGCATTTCTTATGTAACAGCATAGCAAATTTGTTTTGAAAATTGGCACTGCATTGAAAAATGTACACATCTACATCAAATGTAATTGTGAAAGGCAGGAATTATGTTGCTTTTTCTTTAATCTCTGATATATTGGACATATTTTATTTTTTAGAGTTAGTTGTCTTTAATTTAAGCTTTTTGTGTATCTATATTACTTGTAAGCATTTGTCTGTTTTTAATTTTGTAATAGTTTTAATAATAGTTTTTTTTAGCTTATTCTAAAAACGTAATTTATTTTTCTGTGTTAATGTATGCAACATTTTACACAAAAGAAAATATCTTGTATGTTAACCTACAGTACTTGGCAATAAACCTGTTTCTGCCTCTGTTGACTTGCTATGGAAACGATTGGTTCTGATACAAAGCAGCAAACAACTGAAAGTAAATCACCAACAAACGCACATTGTTTAACGGCCGAAGGCAAATCAGACACTTTAAGTAAGACATGGTTTTATGAGGTGAGTTTTCTCACGGTGAAACATCCTATCTCCTGCCTGGGGTGTAAACAAGTGGCATCATATGACACAAACAATAACCCCAGTGTCCGCTCATGCTTCAGATCCGTTCAGAGCGGTAGGTCTCAGGGGAAACAGCAGCCTTGTATTCTTACGTCTAGGCGGTCGTAGCTCCATTCTTCAAGTGCCCGGGCATCAGCATCTCGTCGTATCCCACCCCAAACATATCGCCATGCACGACTGTTCCTGCTTCTCCTGGACATGGCAGCAACTGAGACACTTCAGGATCAGTCCAGATGCTGACAGAACAGCATCAGTCCATCTCCTGAAAGATAAAAGGACAGCATTGTTTTCTGAATCAGTTTAATACACATTCCTAAACGAGTTACATCATTTAGTGTTGTCTGTTATCTTGATTTTACCCCCAACATTTACTACACCCTTTGTAACATACCCTATTACCTTTTGAACTTGCAATCCTTTATCTTATTTATTAAGCTATCTTAGTTATCAAATGCTAATAACCAAAGTGAGACACTTAACAACCACACACAAAATGCTTACTACTTATCTCAACGATAACAAATTGCTAGTAGTAAGGTCCTGGTCTACAATGCACTGTCATCATCAGAAAAACTGTTGTGGTCATTTGACGTGTGTTGTTGTTTTCTTGACTAGCTTTAGTTAGCCCCATCGCTAGCAGGAGCAGTTAACGCCACACAGTTGAACTGCGCATCAAATAACACTTTAGCAGGAAAGCTAACCATAGCAAGGTCAGAACACCACATTTCAGAGCCAGACTGATGGTTTTGTGAGTCAATATATAAAGTCGTTTATTCCGGTGTTTTCACGGTTTATTAGCCATGTATTATGAAAAACTGACCGGAGGCAGATTCAGACCTAGCGTAAACTAGCCCATTAGCTTCTGTTAGCTGCGTGCAGCTAACAGCGCTGGATAAAACGTTAACGTTACCTGCCTGTTGTTCGCGGGAAATCCCTGACAGCAGCGAAGAGACGTAGTTCCGTGAAGCCACTTAAAGCTAGATAGTTGTTTTATTACAACTGAATGAGCGGCTAGCTGAGTTTCCCTTTTTTACATGACCTATTTTACATTATTGTGACAGTAAACAATAACAGGCAGGCTCTCTGCAGGAGCCCCAGCACTGTCTCCTCCACAGACTCCTGTCAGAGAGGGACCAGCCCTTTTCTCTTTATGCATCCATGGGCCCAGCAGGGAGGTGTTATTCACTGGTGGAGGAGGTATGTAGATGTTGTTTGTGTAAAAGTACCAGTACAACACACAATAATACTATAACAATAGCAGTTAAAACAATATATAGTGGAAATATTCATGATGAAGATTTAATTGTCCCCTTTAAGATTAGAGTTTGTTCATATTATAAGCGGTGGGAGTAGTTACATAGTATAAATACCACAAACTATAAAACATACTCATCTTGCATTATAAGACTTAGTAGGCTACATTTACTTATAAGTTCATTTTGAGCGATTTGCCCTTTGAGTGTTTCCATTTCATTTGTACATTTCTTAACTCAATTACATTGTATTATGTATTCTTTATCAGTCAGTCAGGATGCAAATTAAGATCATTAATAATTATAAACTTATACAAATGTTTTTATAGCTCAAGCTACACAACAGGATATGTATCGAGAAGGCACTAGTTAGTAGTTACTGTCTATTAATTTCCACTTTAAAACACCGCAGTATTAAGGCATTAAGAAAGCAATGTTCTTTATAACAAGCATGTTTAGCACATCATGTGCTTTCATTAAAAATGTTTTGGAGACATTCACATCCACCTCAGGGTGAACTGTGATAACCTTTGTTAACCCTTCACTTGTCATCGAGCTACTGATTCTACAAACTGTCTCTTATTCAATTAATCTTTAACTCTGAAATGTTGTTTCCATGTCATCGCATTCACATTAGCAAAAAAAGCACATGACAATTACATGTTTCTGGAGGAGGTTGAGTTTTATTTGGAAATCTGACAGGCATGGCTGAACAGTGAGCTTTCACCTTAAAACAAAAACAAAAAAAAGACATAAGCACTAAACGATACTAGTGTTTCAGAATGTCATATTAAACATAAAGACTTGCACACACACATTATGCACTCAGGTCATTCACACACGCACACTCACACACTGTCAACCCCATGTCAACATGTGGACATCCTCCATTAATAATCACACTACATCCAGAGGAATTCCAAGCACTTAGAACAATTACCCACAGTGCAATTAATCTAACTATACACAGATCATTTATATATTTTTTATGTATATAGGGTATTCAATAAACATTATTCCATTTAGACAGTTTCATAAAGTCAAAAGTCCTCAGAACTTTCCATAAATAGAGAACAAAAATAATATGTATTGACAGCTCTTCGCCACTGTGATTAAAAAATGGTCCCCGAAAAGAACATGAAAAGATCAAATACTAGTGTGCATGATTCTTCAGCAGTCTCAAGACGGAGAGTGACAATCAAAACCACCAAACGAAAAACGAAACTCGGGAGAGGGGAATGGGCAGAAGGATAAACGTTGATACTCACACTCACGGCACAGACTGGTTACTACATTTACAGGGGGGTGGAGGGACTCTGGATCACTGTACATGTTAAGATCAGACAACAAATCAAGCAGACTGTCCACACATCATCCCACAACAACCAATACATCTTCATGCCCGTTCAGTACTCACGAGACCTGACACAACCGGATGGCGTTAAACAATATGGATAGATCACATCTACTGGGGAACGCGGCACCAACATGTTTCTGATGCCATCCTGTCCTGTCAGACCCACGGGGTGTAATGGAAGTTAAGTGAAAATCCCCTATTTGTTCTTGCTGCTTTGATGTGGAATGAATGAGATGGTGTTTTGATGCGGACATCTATTTTGTAGATAGGATCAGAGCCACGATGAGGCCGTAAAGCCCCAGCACCTCGGCGAAGATCAAGATGAGGATCATGCCCACGAAGAGCCGGGGCTGCTGGGCGGTGCCTCGAACGCCGGCGTCTCCCACGATGCCGATGGCGAAGCCGGCCGCCAGACCGCTCAGGCCCACGCTCAGACCGGCACCGAGATGCAGGAAACTCCTGTTGGGGAGGGACGGAGGAAAGAACAACGTCATCAAACAAGGTTCATTCTGTCTTTAAATTGATGTCAAAGCAATCCATTTTGAGTCCCTTCTCCTGTTAAACACTATATCAAAACTAAAGTGATTCATATTAAACTTTGCTGATTCACTGTGACTTCACAAGCACCATCTATGTTTGAAAATGTACATTTGAAAAAGTATTTTTTAGATTTGCATTAATAGTTTTATTAACAACAATGAATTGCCGTGGAGACCTGTTTGGTAATATGCATAACATGTTATTGCATTTTCCCCAATTTGAGTCAATAAAATAAATGCAAAATGAGAACAAAAATTGTGGTTACAACTAGTGTTGCACGGTGTACCGATACTTGAAAGGTACCGCGATACCCTGCCGTTAAAAACGTTACAATTCCTCCGTTTCATTAGTATCGGTACTTTAAGAATGACGGGGGAAAGTACTCCGGTGAGAAAGCGCCGTTTTAATAAGAGCTGTGTGTGTTCAGCGCTCTGCTTCCACTCCCTGCACTGCAGCCGTGCCTGCAGTCCCGCCCCTCTCAAGCACGCTCTAAGTGCCTCCCCTCTCTCGTGCACGCACTAGCTGCCAGAGCATGTGAGAAAACGAGAAGCATGGCTGCAAGTGGGAGTGCAACTGCCGCTGCGCCTCGGCTTGTTGACAAAAAAAAAAAAAAAAATTACATTTAAGACTGTTTTTTTTAAAGAAAAGTATAGAAAAATAAATCGGAATCGCAATTCTTGACTTGGCATCGGTATCGAAACCAAAATGTTGGTATCGTGACAACACTAGTTACAACATATGCAATCTGAAAGGGTCATTCATTGTGCTAAACTTCATTTCTCAATTTACCCAGAAAACTCCAACTCAAAAACAATTATCTTTACCAGGAAGTCGTGTTCAGGATGGGTGGCCATTACAAAGTTTGAAAACAATAGAGGGCAGATAACATCACAAAGAAAAACATCAACACCCAACAACAGATGACCAACCTACTGGGATCAGAGGGATCATGGCAACATAGTTCTGTAAAAACTGATTTATGTATATTTTGAAAAATGTAACAAGGGTAAAGATTCTAAGTTAATTATACCCTGCATGAAAAGAAAAAGCAAACCCTCAGGGAATGATGTTCTCCGGCCCACACTATGATGGAGTTTCACCAAAAGAAACTGCTCATTACCAGCCCAGCACAACACAGCAATGACCAGAACAAAATACATGTACCATTTCCAAGAAGGAAATCAATTAGCGAGTGCAAGACCCAGATGTTTATCTTTGGAGTTGATCAAAACAGATAAAAGGCCTTCAATTCATGACGTGGTCACAATTAGAAGTGGGAAATATAGCTACAGGACTGACTTTGAGTTCTTTATTTTGAGGATTTTATTGTGAAAGTTAGGCAGTTTGATGTTTAAGTGTATTGGCTTCAACTAAAAGTGTCTTCCCACTCACTGAAAGAGATCTAGTAGAGTATTGCATCAGAGGCTGATCTTACTTGTAGAGAGTGACTCTCTCGGAGATGTTGTTTGCTATCAGCACGGCCACCACCAGCCCGTAGATGGCGATGATACCCGCCATGACCACGGGGATGATGGACTTCATGATGAGCTCTGGCCGCATCACGGACATGGCAGCGATGCCTGTGCCGCTCTTCGCTGTGCCATACGCCGCTCCTAATGCTGTGAAGAGAGGTAATTCATCAGTCAGTGTTTGTACTTCACTCCTAAATGATTCTTTACAAAAACAGACAGGATATGGATTTGGACGGAGATTGGCGAGAATTATTTATCCAGCTGATCGATTTAAATTCTCTCTTCCATCATACTGGCTCTGACAGTGTGTAAAGACCCGGCGTGCAGGCAAAATGAAACAGTAGAAGATATATTCGGCTGCCAGTTTTCTCCAGCCAAGCCATAAATAACAGGAATTAAAGTGATATCAAAAAAACTACGTGTACTTGCAATTCACACTAGTGCTTCCATTTTTAAAGTGTCCTCACAAACATTATCTGAAATACATTTTAAAAAGTGATAAACGGATGCATCTTGCACACTTCATTCCCTTTGTCTGACTTTCAGCAGGATTATGGAAAACACGTACCAACCCAATCACAGGGTTGGTACACACCTTATTTTTGACAATCTGTGCGGGCATATATAACCGATTATCACACACGGCTTTGACGACAACAGGCGGAGAGCAACTGTGATTAGACGATGTTACTGGCTTATCATGAAGACTAGGGAGCGTACAAATAAACATATCACACACACCGACTCGGCCACTTCTCACTTGCTGATGTGGGTGTGTTGACACTTTCGATGGCTGTGTTCTAATCGGCTACAAGGCATTTTTTAATATTGTGTGAAAAAGCAACCCAGCATTTTCTTCCACAAGTTGAAAAGCGAGTATCTCTTTTCTTTTCATAAAAAACAGGAATACCAGACAATGCCAATACCTTTTTGTCATCCACTTTTATTTTCTGCGGTTCTTATTTGCATTAAGTGCAATATATATTCTGAGGCCTCCCTTTTCCAATGCATCGTGGCTAATTCTGCTTTCCCAATATTGAGAGATCCTGGACCGACTCCATCGAGAACATCAAACAACTGTTGTGACACTGTAACAGCAGCAAGCATGGAGATTTCACTGAGGGGCGGGATGTTTTTGTGGCAGAAAGCTGTAAAGCCCAGATTATACTGGTGTCAAGGTGTCTCTGTGTGCCTATAATGGAGGAAGTAGTTTATAAAAATGGCCTTGAGGGCATTTCAGTGCTTAACGAAATAAATTGTGTTTCCCTTTGTGATACTGTAAACAGAAACAAATGCAGAGTCAAAATATCAATTTGAGAAAAAGGAATTCATGCTACTTCCAGTCCTGCTATATGTTATCTGTACACTTCCTAAAATATTGAAAAATAATAATTAAAGCAGACCAACATTTGTGCAGGACCAACATGTAGATCATTTTAGAAAGGTATACATCAGCTACATTTGCATAGTAAGTAATAGGTTTTAGT